TGTAGCCTAGGTCAAGAATGCAAAAACAATCTTCAAGATAAAATATCAAAATGAAAGAATTCGTAAGTAAGTGTTGGATTATAATTTTGCTAAAGTTTAATATAGAATTATGTAGCACATAGGCATAGGGGACTGAATCAGATTTATTAATGGTTGGTTATATCGTAATTCTAATTAATGAATCGTGAGACGGTGTGGATTTAATGGCTCGTGAATGACCATCTCCAGGTTGCATGTTCCAGCAGTGTAAATATATACCTACATATCTACAGGTCGAGTTATTTCATATATTCAGTGTTAAAAAATAAAGTAGCGTATTTATTAAGTATTTTTTAAATTATACACTATATACAAACACAAAAAATGTAAATTTTACTTAATTAGTACAGAGACTTATTTTCATTCTAGATTCCTAATATTATTTTGAGACCGGTAGAATAGAAACTTTAAAGCCTATAGGCAAGTTTATTCTCTGAACAACTCTACACGTATTTATTAAATATCAAAATTACTACGTAATAATACAGACATATATATGCAAAATATCATATTTTATAGTCGGCTTGTAGTTTGACATTGTGTGTTGATAGCTAGTCGGCTCCTTTCACGAGTTCTAGTGTATTACAGAAAGGTGAAGTTTTACAAAATAAATATTTAAAAATAAATTCATATATACACAACTACATTATAGGGTTTTTTTTTCATGGATGATTATGCTGCACCCGCCTGCGCTACCGATTTACGCTGACGAGGCACCAGTAGTGGATGATAAGAGGAGCATGATATCAGATCAGTTTGCCCATCGTGATTAAATAACTAGGAATTTACCACGATGGTTTCTATGGGAAACCGCGTGGAGGTCGACCTAACATGGTACATTGCTAGCAATGGGGACACACAGACCCCATTATTAACAAACCCCTTCCCCCAGTGCACATAGGTTGTAATGAAAACCTCAAGAATCAAGCATGATTACTAAAATTCGTATTATTACAACCTGTATATACATTACTTATTTCACAGGCTAAAATTAGACAACATACAAAAAACTGATCGTACAAGTCGGGGTCTCGCATTGAGGGTCACCTACCTATCAAGATATTTTTACATGTTATGATGGTATGGAAAACTTTTTTAATTAACTAAGTTATAAGTAGTATTTTAAATGTTTTACGTAATTAGATAGAGATAAAAATAAAAGAGAAAAATCATTTGAAATTATTATGGGTGGGTCCTCCCTCCTTCACTCACTTCAAAAGTTGTGGTTTGGAGGGTGGAAAATTACAGGGTGAGTGGTGATAGGTTAGGGGGACTTAACATCTTTGTCATCTTGAATGGCAATTCATAAAAGGTGCTAGGGGCGTCACATGGTGACGTTATATCCTTGTACCTATATAAGCGACGGTTGCCACTTACTATTAAGTGCGAGGTCAATTTATCATTCCAGTGACATAAAAAAACCCCTCTTTAATTTTACTGTAAAATATAACCAAAATGAAGAGGAAACGCCACTATATATCCCATGTGGTTGTAGCCCTCTCATATATAAACGTAATATCTCCTTTGGAAAGTTTACACTCTGACTGAGATAAAAACCATCGCTTCTAAGAATATCTTTCAATTCTTGTCCCTGACGGGTCTAAGTAACGAACTTTAAGAAAGGCGAGCACAATATATCTACGTAGGAAGCAGTGTTACAGGTCCATGCACCTGACAATAGCACGAACAATCCAATAAAAAAAATAGTACTATAGAATTTTTGAAATGTAAACTTTGAATATGTAGTTATTTGTTTATATTATGAACATGTATAAGAAAAAAGAATGTGCTCGTTGAACTCTTATAGAGGAAGAATTTACTGAGGTCATTTCTTAAAAATAATATTAATTGTGAGATCATGTGATAAGTAATCTAATGTATCTTGCGTACTTCCTTAATATAAACGTGGAAGTGGCTTGTTTGGTTGGTATATTTAAATAACTTTATGAAATTTTCACATTATCAACCAGTCACGCGAAGAAACGGCTCAGGGCCGTTGAAACGGTCTGAAATATGTGATACAAATAATAATGTTAATATAGTTCATTAAGTAAATTTTGTTTGTGTCATTTAGTAAAGAACCGGTTGTAGAACACATGCTAGCAAAGATAATATTCTAGAAATATGGTCCATCCGCACCGAGCTTAACTTTACAAAAACGACTGTTAATAAAAGTCTTTAACGTAATCGATATCATTATAATTTATTAAATATAAGTAAAGTACCTATGTACGATAGAACCAACTACCAATTAGTGAATAATGGCGAATGTAAATCAGATTAATACGTAAATATCACTATTATAAAGTTTGTACAAAACGCGAAACTATGAGTGAACGTTCTATACCTATTATGTTTTAAATATATAGTCTTCGCTTAAAAGTCAGTATTAAAACGAGTTGTTGAAATTGTTTATTGAACGGAGTTTTTTATTTTTTAATGAATGAATATGAAATGCTACACTCGCCTGCGATAACGGTATATACTGGCGGGGCACCGCTGAAAGATGATATGATGAGGATCAAGTTAGGTCATTAACTACGATGGTTTCCTGGGAGAATAGTGTGGAGGTTGACCTAATAGGGTGTAGGGGTTTAATCCGCAGTGTAGATAAATAGAGTGATGATTAAAGTAGAATATGTATGTATGTAAAAGATAAATTGCAATTTCAACGCAAATATTTACGAACTATAGAAGACAAAAGTTACAGTCTTTCTAAATATAAAATTCTAGTTACAAGTCTTCTATTAACAACGGCTACTTATAAATTTAACAATTAAGTTTAAACCCTGGTAAAATACTAGGAATGCAGCCTAGTCTTCATTACTAATAATTCCGCCCTCCCCCCTATTCATCTGCGGCAGAAATTTTAATATCTATCCATATGGACATATCCTACTAAAAAAATTAAGCATAATAACATTAAATATGCTAGAAATAAAGATTTTTAACAACAGAGTGATACAATAAGGTTTTCGTATATTTTTCTGAAGTAGGTACGTATAGCTAATATAATAGAACATTATATAAGTCTTAATATCCTAATGTCCACCACATTAAGTACGTTGTATACAAGCAATATTAATAATGTTAATAAATACGTACAATAACACTTGATCTCCTTGATCAACGAACCCAACTCATATACACATCGACGACGTCTTTTTAAAAAAATATAAATGAAATCAGTTGTTTTATTGCTTAATTAATAGATGAACATAATACCGTTATAAGTGTATGTACTATAAAGGCACATTAAAGTTGTAAATGTATTATAATTGCGATTGAAGCTTTATGTGAGGAAATATATTAATTAAGCGAGAATGCAATCATTCAAGTTTTCCATAACAATTGTCGATTATATATACTTCTCTGTACCTACATATTAATTATATATTTAGTTGCGGTCTCGTTTTTTCATTTATTTTATATAATAATGTAAATGTCGGTATTTAATACCTAAACTTACTTATTTAACATGACATGACACTAAGTAAGGAACTTTAAATACCGAAACTTTGTTGTAAACCGGAATAATATTCAAATTACCCGCATCAAGTTAGCTATACCACATGTAGAAAAAAGATCCAATATATTTTAAACTTGTTATGTTAAAATAGCAGTACTTGGGTATAATTTGGCAAAACCCTGTCCTTTAGGCAGGTATTAGACGCTCAGTCGTCAATTTCATAAATCAGTTAGGTATTTCAAACACCCTGCAAGTAGTACCTACCCCAAAAGTATACTATTTTATTAACATAAGATGGATAGTTAGAGCAATATGTTTATAAGTACAAATTTATAAAATAAACTGATATACAATCCCCACCTACTCCGGTTATTTTTATGTATAATACCTACCCACACATATGACCTTAATGCAACTATTTCCGTATGAGTAACTTTTGTACGTATGTATTAATCTTTGTCATTTGACTTTATTTAATGGCATATATTTTTATATTTTAATATTCATGTATGTTCAACAGGTAAGTATATAGGTACATTATTTAGTACTGATTAAAAACTTTAATACTATTACATATTTTACTATCTTACACTATTGTGAATTGGAAAGACCTAACCTATATATACATATATATATATATATATATATATACCTATAGCTGCTAAATTATATAAAATATCTTCTTAAACTACCTACTTTCTAAGAGTTCTTGTTGGAAACAGTTTCAATTTAACGGTCTTATAATCATAAATCGAGCTATAAAAGTTGCAAGGTTACGAACTAACACGGTTTAGTCATGTCAGTAACTGACAATATCTATCTGTTTCATAACATTTGTTCAAAACTCTATTATATATCCAGGTTCAGGAATAAAATTCAAATTCAAATAACTTTAGGCAGAAACCTGATTTGTAAGCTAACAGCGGATGAACTAGTGGTGTATATATAGCAATAATTTAGTCGCACTAATATTTAAAAAGTTCCTGACCTAGAAAATAATTTTAAATACAATGAATCTAATTACATATCTATTTACCTAATTATATATCTCTAATTAAGTACATTCTAATTTATAGAATATCTAATATATAAATCTATATTTTTTATTTATTTTCACAACTAGATTTTAAAGTGGTATTCGAGGATAGCAAGTTTTAAATCTAAGTACCTAGTATTGCATCTATCTACGCTAAACTATAGTTAGTATAGATTTCTTAAAATCAAATATTTTATTAATTACCCATTTATAATAATTTACTGAACCGAATTAAATAAAAACGGCATGTTTTCTTGATTAACAAACATACAAGAGTACCTATATACAGACGGCATAGTTTAAATAGGAAATAACGCTTGTTTCTCTTTCAATTTTATTAAAAATGATGATTTAACTTTTCTAATATAAATTGTATACCAGAAGACTATAATTATTATTATTATAATAGGTATGAATTTAATTTAGACGCCCAGATGTAATTGTCTACTTTCTTACCTACGAATTCAGGATCAGGCAGGTATGGTGAGGCTGCCAACATGCTAAGAAGGTCTCTCACACATCTCTCCAGATCACCAGGTCCTTCAGCAAGTTCCTGTTTTAAAACTTCCTCTTGTTTTAAAGAGGGTCCTTCGAGAAACGCCATTGTACACTTCACAACAAGAATATATTGTTTAATATATTTTTTATTTCAAATTCAAATACGTGTTTGTGCACTAAAGCTGAATAAGTACAAAACTGCGAGCGAATCGTTTTCAACTTCTTATATAAACTTGCGACGAATGGAAAAGGGAAGGACAGTAAAGCCCCATGTACATTGAATGCAGTACTACTACAAGCGACATGCGATAAAATTGAGTCGCTTCTACAGCTAAGTGAACTAATGTTCATAAATAAAAGATCCTTCCAATTTCAAATTTTTAAAAAACTATTTTATGTATACATGCCTGTGTATGAGATATTTAGTAGTAGATATAGTATATATGAACAACATTTGATTAGTATAACAGCAAACACAGGAGTTTGGATTATCTTATCTTGGCCATAACTTACTACAGTAGTTTCGACTCTACACGTATTATGGCCTTTTGTATGTGGCGTTTTTTGAGGCTAAAATTAAGAAAGGGTGTTCACTTTACAAAAGGATGTTTATGACGTATCACTGAAAATACTATTTTGTGGCTATGATTGTACAAAAAATTGTATACACGCGGGATTGTAGGCGGTTGTTAATATTTGAATATATTATTATAGTGAACGCGTTAACTTCTACGTCAATAGTATCTTTTTGTATAGTGTTACCCTTACTGTCTCCTTAAAATTGTAAACACTGATGTATTTTTTATTTTTAGTACAAAATCAAAACAGTGCCAAACTTCATACTCCACATATTTGCTTCACAGACATTTGTCTGATGATTACGCATTACGCTTCATCTAGAGTAGCTCTTGGGTATATGATAAACCCTATCGATTATAAAATCATACAACTATATTATTTCAACCAATTTGAGCGAACACACATATGTATGATTGGTTTGCAGCAAACATTATAGACAAAATGAATGAATGTTTCTGTACAACATATTTCCACAGCACATGCTTATCTTGTTATGTGATCACCAATCGGCATTGGGAGACCATGGTAATTATATTGTAACAACAGTAACATACAACTTAGTTTAAAAGTAATAAAGGTTTAGGCCTCTCTACGATGTTGTAATATTACTTTCATTAACGATAAAGAATTGATATTATAAGAAATGATTAATTGCTGGTAACCTACTTCCATTTTACCAGTATTTAACTATTTTGGTTTATATCATAGATATAATTATACCATTTGATCTGTCTCCTAGTTGGGTAGACAAAAATAATGAAATACCCCTTTCTATGACGCATACAATTATAAAGAAAGATCTCGTAATGTAATTATTCATATTTGTTAATAATAAAAATATTATATTATCATTAATTAATATATATTTTTTTTATTTATATTACAAAAACATGAAACGCATTTTGTTGCAACGTTTGAAAGTTACAAGCTAAGTTGATAAAAGTAAGTGAGTACTTTAAAATATAACTATAATACTAGGAAAACAATGGATTTTATTCCTTAATTTTTTTTTATGATAAACGATATCTGTTGCTATTACAGTTTTGTATTCTTGTTTCTTCTCATAACTGGCAGCAGTGTATGCCTGCCTCCTACAATATGAGGTCTTTCAGGCTCGAGTGAATAGACAGAATTTAAAATTATGTTTAACAGCTTCGACCATATTACCATATTATTACTGAACATCAACTAAGCTTGTGCTCAAATACTAATAAAAAAATGTTATAAGTATATATTTATTGCCAAAGGTTTTATAGGTGTAAACGTTTCCTTAAGAATCCATAAATGATGATGGTAGCGATTTGCCGATAAATTTATGCATAATTAAGGTACATGTACATGTTCATGTTGCATTAATTTATAAACATCTTATTATAAAATGGTGATATTAGATCATAAGCCCAGCCATGCTGAAATGACTACGAATTAAACGCGTTAGTTTACAGAGGTAACCGCGTAGTGGTCGACCTAAGAATCAAATTCTTAGGTCATTTCAGCATGGCTGGGCTTATGATTTAATATCACCATTTTATAATAAGATGTTTATAAATTTTGACATCCCCTATTGGTTAGCCCAGGGAGATGCCCTATGAATGCGGATGTAGTGTAATGGTCAGCACAGCTGCCTTCCAAGCAGTTGATCCGAATTTCGATTTACGCTAATCGCATATTTTGGAATGCGAGTCGGATAATCTCCCTAGTATGTTCCAGCATTGTTAAGTCCATCGCCGTGAATACGTGCGCGGGGAATGGTGGCTGAGCAATGTTTGGTTCTGATGCGCTCCGAGCGGTATGGTAATAATGCCTTCGAGTATAATATTTGTCATTAACATAGTGGCAAATAGTCCGGCGAAACGGGCGGCGTAGGCTGGGACAATAGGCCCAGGAGAGACGGGACATGTGCGGAGCGGGCGCGGCTCTGTGTGGGCGGCAGTCTCAGGGATTAAAGTCTGCCGGTCCACAACGGTAACTGAGATAGAGTGAGGCACATTCCGTTTTCCGGTGCATCTCCTCCGCGGTGGTCGGCGGCGGAGAAACTGGAAAGGGTTCCGCCCACGCGTTGAGGAAGCCCGCTTGTGGGCAAACTCCACTGCGGTCGCGGTTGATTACTAAAATGATCCCTTGACCCCGGCACTATAGCGACTATAAGGAATGTTGTGGGGTTGTTAGTGAGTTGGAGTTAAAATACCAAACCGTCCAATCTCTTAGACGGACTGATCTCCATGAGAGATTACCCAGTAAAAATTAATAACAGGATGTCATATAGCGTAAGGGGCATATATAAATATGCACATTAACAGTGGAAAATACAGGAGGTAGGGCAATTTTTATATACATAAAAAAATTGCTGTTCCAATATCTAATAAATTAAAAGAAACTCGGTCGCTCGTCCCTTAGTCTTTCTCTTCGTACTTATTAGACGACGAAACAGCGAGACTCATCATCGCACCGCTCGCTGAACTGTGGTGCAAGTAATAATACTGTGGAAAGAGATTATTGGCACCTAATATGGACTGATGACTCGATAAATGACTTCTAATTTGCAATCTTATACTAGGTTCAAGTTCAATTGTATTCCAAAACATTTTTATAATCGTCATCAATATCATAATCCCACTGCAGTTTCTTGTTATTTTATTTGTTATATATAGTAATTGACAAACATTTAAATTGGTACACGCTTCACCTCCTCCTATACTAGGTACCTAACTATAATAGGTACACCTAAATGAATTTCAAAATAGTATTCAAGTAGATAAGTTTGGGCAACTGATAGTAGCCGAATTACATTATTATATGTAAAATATGAAAAGACTACTACCAATAAGTTATATAATATAAGGTGTAACCCTGGGTAAATTACACAGCGCCATGTGGTCTTAAAATAAATTACGGAAGTATTTTCCTATATATATATTTTTAATTACATACATAATGAACATAAAATACATACAGACCAATATAAATAATTATTATCATGAATATAATCTTGTCACATGAGAATCGAACCCGTAATCGATTAAAATACATATCAACCTAAAGAGTTGTGCTAAACCGTAAATGATTGTCATTCTACGAAAAAAATTACTGTTCATATTGTTCGTAACACATTAAATAGTATTATCTAATAATAAAAATTGAAAGTTAGGTATCTTCCGTAATTAGCTATTTACGTATTAAACGACAGTTAGGTACCTATATCTCCGAATTACATCATAAGAACTACTTCGAAAACCTAAAAACGTTCCTTTTTTGTTATAATTTAATTCCATCGTCTTCATGATTCCCTCACTAGCGGCCCTAATCTTTATTTCGCTGAACAGGTTTATTGGTGAGTTGTTTATTTATTATAGACCATCTCGTTAAGGCCAAAGCAAGGTCTAATTCATGGGAAACTAAATTCAAGATCAAGTTCAATTATAAAATATATATAATATAATAATATATATAATGGCAAATCTTTTACTAATGATGATGAAAAGGCGCCAATCGTAGGCACTTGTGTCGTAAGCGCTGACGAGACGCCTTAGGCATAGGATAGAATATTCTATTCGAAACAAAATTATGAATTTTACTTTAACGGCAGAAAAGGACAGAATCCCTTATCACCATATTATATAACAAAATTCGTTGCTTTATTTTGAACGGAATGAAAAATCTATGACTAATCTACTCTATAATACTATACAAGTCTGTGCATAAATGTCAAATTATCAGTGACAATAAGTCAAAAATTTACTTCTCCGAACGACATTGACATATTTGATGACAGTACATGACAGCAACAGTCTACGAGAGTGTGTGTAGTTCTTAATTCAATTTTTAAACTAGTTAACCGTTGAGAACTCGACACCTCACTTTTATTTATGTACACAATGAAAATTGGTTTTATTAATAGAAATCTTTGCAAATATGCTTTAATAGAATAATAATACAAACCTTTGAAGTCCAAATATTTAATATTATGGAGCCTTCAAAGGAAGCTATTCCGGTCCGAGTAACGCGTTTGAACCGGCAGATATTAGGAAAACTGACTGGTGGTGATTTAAATAAATTATGTAAAAAAACAATAAACCGGGAAGCTCTACTGGATGCTCTCACTGTTCTTTATGATGAGTGCAACGAAGACCCTGTCAAAAAAAGTGATGAATACGTTAAAGGTTTTGTTGACAAATGTAAGAACTATTATTTATCTCATAGTATTCCTTTCTTTTTATTTACTTAGACAAATGTTTAATTATATATGACAGTGTATCGTGACCCTGTATATAGTGAAGTTGCGAAGTTGGGAGACACAAATTTCTAGATATTTCATAGTTGTATCTGATAGAAAGGTCTCCTTTATTAACTAGTATAAGAATCGTCTTGACTATTATTTGTTAATATATTACCATTTTAAAAAATGTGACATCTGTTATAGTTTTAATTGTAAACTTATACTTGAAATCTCAGACTTCTGTATATGAATGAACTTAAGAGTTCTAACAAAGTATATAATGATTAGTGGCTATTCAAATATAATAAATATTATGTTTCAGATCGCAGCACATTGGCCGAGCTACGACGAACTCGTGTCTGTTTATCTGACTTTGAAGTGCTACAAACTATTGGCCGAGGGCATTTTGGTGAAGTTCATGTAATTAATAATTTTTTACTATTTTCATTGAATAATATAGCAATTTCAGGTACAGTACCAAAATACATGGTATTCTATGTCACATAAAATCAATAATTTAATATGCTACTTTAGCTTTATCTAGAAATTTTCAATTTAAATTTGGGACCAATAATAATACTCTTTAAAATCTACCAAATATCCTTACTACATAAGGATGTAAGATATTTTTTTAATTTTAATGAGAAAAACAAATTGCTCTATATCTAAATATCCTAGGGGCTTCTAGTCCAGATCAAAGTCATAAGGTCAAATGTTGTAGTTTCAAAATATATTAATTTCAACCAGATGGTAAGGGAGAAGGAGACTGGAGATGTGTATGCACTGAAGACTTTACGCAAAGAGGAGGCTCGCAAACGTGCAGCTAACACAGCAGAAGATGAACGTGATGTACTTGCAACAGCTAATAGTCCGTGGATACCTAAACTGCAGTATGCATTTCAGGTGAATTTGAGAAAATGATCTTTTGCTTAATCTAATTGTTGTAGACTATTATTATTTCTTGTAGCTCAATTTGTATCTCATAGCATTGATTTTAAGGCAAGGCATACAATCTACAACTTGTAATGTGATTTTCAATTTCTACAACATATGGAATGATATTGCATATACTATTCATGCTTCACTGAAAGTAGTACATGTAATATGTGTATCATATCCATATAAATTCTACAATCTTGAAGTTATGTTACATTCCTTTTGAATGACAGAAATATTGTAGTTAGTTTTGAGAGTTTGCTAGAATGTTTAATAGACTAATAAAAAATTTTTCATGAAAGCAGTGTTGCCCAGGAGACTGATGTTAACTTATTACTTAACAGAGCATTCTGGAGGAGGAGGAAAATGTCATATTTCATGTCCTACTATTTCACTATCTTATCTCACCTTTCAACTAAAACACATACTACAAATCAATCTGTTTAGTGGCTGAAATAAATAATATTGAGGTACACACACAGACAACATTTTTCATAGTCTCTCAGTTAATAATTTTTTATACTATCTGTACTCGCGACTTCATCTGCATGGAATTTAACTTTATTTTTTCTAACATAAAAGTAGCAAAAGCAATAGTAAAAATTTCAAAGATTAACTGGAACAAACAGACAGACAAAAATTATAATAATGATGTTGTTTTGGTGTATGTACCCTATTTATATTCATATGCATCTAGTAAAAAACTGTTCTTTCAATATTACAAACAGACACTCCAATTTTATTTATATGTATAGATTGTAAAACTTCAAGTCCTTGTAAATATGTTATGTATTTAATATTATTTGTTGTTGGCTTACAGGACAGTAATCATTTATATCTGGTCATGGAACTATGTGTCGGTGGTGATTTGGCTGGATTGCTTGCTCGACGCAATCATCCCTTGTCAGAGCGCGACGCCGCATTCTACATAGCAGAAACAGCACACGCTTTAAAAGCTCTCCATGGGATGGGATATGTGCATCGAGATGTTAAACCACACAATATATTTCTGGACAGGTATAGCAAATCATTATAGTGCTTACATATTAGTTGCATACAACAGGTAAAAGAACTTAACACAAGTAATAGTAAATTTATTATTATTTGTGTACAGTTCTTTTATCAAATGAGAGGCGTGCCCTTTTTCGTCGCTTCTTAAACAGTCAAAAATAAACCTTAGAAACTATATAATACTTCAATTATCTCAAAAGCAGCTAGTACAAATTGTTTGGAAAGGTTAAATATATAAAATTTTTTGGATTATTAATAGAGCACTAATAGAGCACGAGAGAATAAGCTTGATATTAGGTCAGTTAACCCATTATAACAAATTCACAAGGAATTAACCATGATGGATTGGACCAGGAGGACTACATGGAAGTCAACCTGATATGGTATGGTACCTTGCTAGCAATGGGATCACTGAATGATCAGGAAATTATATAGATGAGAACAGCATTATTAATAGTGAGGACTCATAGTGCTAGTAATATAAGAATGTTGCGCGGTGTTTGTGTAGGTGCGGGCACGTGAAGCTGGGCGACCTGGGCTCGTGCGCGCGGCTGTCGGAGGGCGCGAGCTGGGCGGCGGGCGGCACTGCGGACTACGTGGCGCCCGAGCTGCTGGCGGCCGCAGACTGCGCCGCGCGACACACAGTCTGTCTCGAATACTGTCGCGGCATTGTTTCCTCTGCCATTGTGGGTTCGCACGATACGCTTGCGCTTCTCTATAACTACTACTGCACTGTTTATCTGTATATTTTATACTTATACCTATGATTATTTAAGGAATATATTGTACAGTTTTTTCAGAAGCTATCCAAGTAGATCTCTGTCAACCAGGTACTCATTTTACATCTATATATTACTGAGACAGTGTACATGTACTTACATTGTATACAATAATATGTTTATAGTATTTAATCTATGTAATTAAGTAGGTTGAATGCACATTTTGTATTTAATTATAGTAAAACAAATATGAACATATGAATTGGCTTCCTAAAAACATTTTTAAAATTATATTTATATATATATAAATAATATTAAATTTGGTATGCATTTGAGTAGTAATAATAAAAAAGTAGATGTAATTTTAACCATTGATAAATACAAGCATGACTGTAGTTGTAAAATATGTATTAACAATCATTGTTTTTTATAACAATATAGGTATTACACTAATAAGGTTGAGGTTTTTTAGAAGAAATTAATATATAATATAATAAATAATAGATAATTTCTTATGGAGAAATGTCTATAGGCTTTATGATTTGTAATAATCGGCTCTTTTATAAATTTATGTGAAATTTTGTCCTGTCGTCCATTATTATGCTGCATAGATCACTTGATATCTCCTATACCTCAACCTAAAATAAAAACCGTTTTTTACTTGATATTTCTATCTCGTACAATAAAAAATATTATCATCATTATCATAAGGCGGTATACGGCATGTCTTGATTTCACCAATGTTCACTCGCGATGTGAAATTTTACAATGGCAAAAAGCGTCGTTTTACGACTACACTTCCCTATTTATATTACATATGATGATGATAAAATCGTATTAATATATACGGATGTGCCATTCTACAAAAAACATGTAAAACCAACCAATATTAACTGATATTTGTTTGTATTTAGACGGCGTGTGACTACTGGTCGCTGGGCGTCGTTGCTTTCGAATTGGTAACTTTGAAGAGACCATTCTCATCTGGTGATGAAGATTCTGTTGCGCAAGTTCTCAGCAATATACAAAAGTGAGTTTCTTACATAATTCAATTCCTTATAACAGTATCATAATAATAATAATCAAAATTGTAATGTTGTTAATGTTCATTTAAATTTAACCTACACTTTCTCATCTGTCGTAAAATTTTAAATTGAGCATCAAAAGCAATTAGTGTCTTATGTAATAATTATTTTAATTCTGCATAGTTTTCTTCTTTTCATTTATTGGGTTATTTTCTCAGTATTAAGTGTAAATTTTCACATTTTCATAAACTCATGAACAGAGTATAAATATATAATAATATAGTAATTGTTCACACAACGTCATCTATTCCCTTATTGTTATTCACATAACAGCTAAGGAGAGTCGTATTGGGTACTAGATAACTTACAGAAATACTTAGAGAAATTGAATACGCCTAGATCAATACAAACAAGTATATTCATGAATAAATATTTGAATAATTATAAACATCCGAGGATGAAACACGCAACCGCACATGTGCGAAATATCGCTGGAGCACTGTAGCCTTTACGGTGCAGTAGTACATACATAGTTCAGTAAGCGGTGAGGTGACACATAAGCGGTGCAGGTACGAGCGCGCGGCGGAGGCGGAGGCTGCGCCGCCGTTCGCTGCGGGCGCGGGTGCGGGCGCGGGCGCGGGCCCGTCGCGCGAGTGGCGCGCGCTGGTGGCGGGGCTGCTGCGCGTGCCGCCGCCGCGCCGCTACAACTACCTCGACACGCTGCGCCACGCCGCGCTCGCACATCTCGCCGATTTACACAGCATTCGCGACCAGGTACGCCGCTCTACACTACATACTTTTTATTTATAGATGATTATGTAGGAATTATGCATCCGCCTGTGCTGACGGTTTACGCTGACGTACCACTGATGGAGGATGATAAGATACGCATGAGGTCAGGTCAGTTAGCTCATCCTGACAAATTCACCAGCAATTTATCACCATGGTTTTCAGAGGAATAGCGTGGAAGTCGACCTGATTTGGTACATTGCTAGCGATAGAGTTCACATTACTAACAATCCTTTTTCCCCCACTAGATACATCTACGTTCACCTACTACTACTATTACTACAATACTTTCCTTTTTTAGTGAAATCAATATATTTGCAACAGTATAATCATCATTGTTTAATCATTTATAAGAGATCTGTTCATACATATTAACACAATCTTGTTAATATGTAATTCGGCATTAAAAATACATACAACTCTAAATTTTCAACCTTCTAACGTAAACACATATTTTCATAGCAATAATAATACTTTGCAATCATTTTTCTGCAACAAGTAGAACAAAAATTGTTTGTTACCATGGATATTTTTACTTATCCTACTTACCTAGCTTATTATACCAACACATTCCGACTAACCCTGTGTAAGTCTTGAAGCCCTAGAGCTACTTACTCCGTGTGTGTGTTTGTGCGCAGGCGCCTCCGTGGGTGCCTGGTGTGCGCGGTGCGGAGGACGGCACGCACTTCCGTCCGCCGCCTCGACGGCCTCCGCCTCCCGACGCCGCGCCCTTCCGCGCCCGCCCGCCCTTCGCCGGCCAGCTGCCCTTCGTCGGTAACGTTACAATATATCTCATCTTATTAAATAAAACCTAAGGTCTCGACCGAGTCGTCGTCCAATCTATGTCGCGTCTCATTAAGTAACACCTGTAGTCGACACCAAGGAAGTGGTGAAATGAGATCCCGGCTCATTACTTAGTACGATACTGTACATTAAATGTGCTGTGATATTTATTAAAATGAATAAATGCAGGTTACTCTTATGTGGCGATCGAAGACAACGAGGAAAGTACAGGAGGTTTTAATGCTTCTCACGATTGCACCGCGATCAACTTGGCTACCTATAAGTAAGTAGTAAATATTTGAAATTATAATTAGAAACAATTACTGTGTTGATCAAACAGAAAAAAAGACTATTAAAATGTTCATTATTTTATATCTTATGCAATTATTTAGCAAAAGTTCATGCAAACTTTAACTGAAAATATTCTTATGACTAAAAAAAACAATTTTTTAGAATACATTATATTATATTTTTTGAACTACATTATACATATTTTCCAAGTAGGGTCAAATGCTGTAAGAGTTTCCAAATTGAAATAAATTTCGTGTCGAATACACGATCGGTGCGATTAAACTACGTCGGAACACCGATGCGGAATCGTTATAGACTTTATTACACGATTGGGGTTACAAGTTATTTCATCACTGGTATCGTAGATCAGCGGAGAAGCTGGCGGCGATGCGGGCGCGGGAGGTGTCGTCGCTGCAGAGCAGGCTGGCGGCGGCCGAGGCGGCGGCGGAGGCGGCGGCCCGCGCGGCGGCCGAGCGCACGCGCCGCGAGGCCGAGGCCGAGGCCGAGCGCACGCGCGCGCGCCTGCAGGCCGACATCACCGCGCTCTCCCTGCAGAACAAGTAACTCGCTCATTATAAAACTGACCTTTCATTACCGACTCTATTTTAAGAAATTTACGAGCACAGATTCGATCCAGGGACGCCGGGATCCTGTTCATATTTTAGTCCCAAAATTCTCAGGGATTAAATTTAACGAAACCCGGATGATTTTCGGGATATATTTTTTATATAAGTCAATAAAAATGTACGTGAAACGACAAGTTTCTTGCTTTTTGAGTTTATGGTCAATTTTGAAAAGCAAAAAAACATTAAAGTACACACACACAAACAATATATTATGTGGAATTGAATTGATCGTTGAAGGTTGATGTATGTGGTGGAACATTGCGTGAAAAGGAAATATAGATGTGTACAAGAGAAATAGAATAAAAAACATTAGATTAAGATGAGGAAATAAATGAAAGTTTTGCAGACAGAAGTGAAAGCTTTTATTTGTTCCTACTAATAAAAACTCAAGTATGTATGTATATTGTATATGTGATACATACTTGAGTTTAAAATGCTTTTGTCTTTTAATTTTTAAAGTTCTAATCTGCTTTGTATGTACTTGTTATTTTATTAAATCTATCAAATACAGTCATCTATTTTCAGTCTATAATTATAAAGAGTAATGTCTATCCGTATTTATGTTAGCTTAACTGACTTAATAATAACAACTCCAGTGTGAAACTGGTTTACTTGAAGGAGAGCAACTTTTCAAATTGTTAGATAGTATAATATTATTGTGATTCAAATATTTTAAATGTGTTATTATTCATCTACAATTTAAATATATTTGTTACTACATAATATGTTTACTTCTAACTTAAAACATAATAAATATCATGTTGTTTAATTTTGTTATACTTAATCAAATTTTGTATATTCAGTTATGTGTGTACACAATACAGACGTCTGGAGCGTCAAGTGGAGGTAGAGAAAGAGGAGCGGATGGCGCTACAGCGCACCAATCAGGAGCTGTCGTGCGGGATCGCGGAGCGCTGCAGCGCTGAGAACCGCGCGACGACAGCGGCGGCGGCAGCGCTGCAAGCGGAGCGCGACACGCTGCACGAGCAGCTGCAGCGCGCGGAACGCCGCGTAGCAGACCTACAGGCCGAATGCACGAGAACGCTCGCCGCCGCCGACCGAGCGCGCGACCAGCACCAACACTATAAGGTTACACTGCTTGATAATATATGCACCTTATTAATTTACTCTAGTAAAACAAAATTGAATCTTATATTTGCTATGCAGGTAAGATCTATTTTAAATGACAACAAATTAATTTATTTCAAAATATTAATTTATTTCAAAAATAGAACCCATTTATGAAAATTCTCCTGTGTACAATTACAATTTTGTTTTTTTTATTCAACCGCATGTTAAGAATTGATATAAAAATGTGTAAATAATACTGTTTATTTCCAGTTCCTATTTATATAAAATTGTTATTATTTATTATTAGCTGTATTGTATACACTGCATTCTAGTGAGCTTCATTCTAATAATTCATATATTGTTTGAATAAACACTGAAAGAAAGTTAAGTATAACTTTTTTGATTTGGAGAAAACTTTAAATCTGTTGTACATCTAGGATATATTGGCGCACGTGCAAGATTTACGGCATAGAAAACTGACCGAAATGAACGTGCGGGCGATTGTAAGTTCGTGGTTAGAGTAGAGTTGAAGTGAGAAATATATTCTAATTTAGTAATTGCTATATGTAGTTCTCGTTGACTAATTATTATAGTATTAATGTATAAAAAAATTGAAATTAACAAATTTTTATAACATTCAAATGTTTTTAAAACATATGGACGTACCTATTCTTAAAAGGATTAATTGTATTCCATTCGAGCAATCTACTGTATGAAGAGTCGTGACTCATTAAGAGAGAAATTCAAAGAGGCAAATATTCTCACTGTTGCTTCTCAATTTATATATTCAATTATCCTTGTCAAATATATAAAAATCTTGACTTATTTCCAAAAAAACAGCAATATTCATAATATTAATACTAGATTTAAAGGCAATCTTGCTGTCCCCAAGTATCGTTTAGAAAAAGTTAATAGGTCTTTTTTGGGAATAGGTATAAAAATATACAATAAGATACCAAAGGATATAGGAATTACCCTTAAATAAATTCAAAACATCTGTTAAATCATATTTACTGAGCAAAGCTTATTACTCACTAAACGATTACTTTAATGACGAGTGTGCATGGCAATAGTTGTTCATGCACTGAATTTTCATTTAATGTTAGACATAGACACCTATATAAATATACATTGTAAATAAACTGGCTTTAAAAAAAAAAGTAATTCAATTGAGTTTCTGGCAGTTTTTCTCAATTGGATCTATATACCGAACTGGATGGTAGGGAAAAAATTAAAATTAGAATGTATAAATTTGACGTTCATAAGCGGCTAAAATGTCCTACATGAATAAATGATTTTTGAATTTGAATTTGAATTGCTAATTTTAGATGCATTCATAATTTATCCCAATTTTTTTTATTTAATTCAGATTAAAGAGAAATTCGGAAAGAAGTTAGGTAGTAGAGTAGAAGTTGGCAGTAATTGTGTATTTAGTTAACTATATACAATTATTAATATTTTTATTGCCTTTTATTTAATTTATTGTTTGACTGTAAATTATATTGTTTATACTCTTATTAAATATTTGTAGTCTAGATTTATATCATTTATTTCAATTGTAACTGCTATGTGTTTAAATCTGCACGTGACGGCAAAATGCCATCGCGACTTTGTAGTTTCGTGCATATTTGCAGCCATGTCTGGCGCCGGTCTCATATGTGGTTTTAAATTATTAGGACACGATAGCGAAAGAGCGCGCGTTGCGACGACAAACGCTTAGCGGTGGCGAAGCTGAGATGCGAGAGACGGCCGCGCGACTCGCAACTGCTGAAACTAATTTTGCGCGCGAAGTACGTGCCAAAGAACAACTGGAAAAACAAGCCGTTGAGCTGCAAGCCAAGAATGCGTCGCTGCAAACCGAAAACGCTACACTGCAAGTTGAAAATGAAACTCTCCAAGCTGAAGTGGAGCGTGTCAGAAAGGATTTGGTTAACGCTAAGGTATACAATTGTCACTACTGTACTGTGTCAAATTGAAAGCAATTTGCTTTTAATTATATGTAATGAATTACCATATATAATATCAATACATACAATAGTTTTTTTATGGACTTGAGAAATCAATAATACAAAAATTTTATAACAATTTGTATTTGAAAATGTTTTTTATACTAATTAATTAAATTAATTGCTATTCTTATGTTAATTAGGATAATATGAATGAGAAGGAACGTACCGCCGATGCATCGTCTGCGAAACTTATGGATGCACAGCAGCAGTTGGCGCAGGAACGAGTTAGAGCCGCAACGCTGATTGCACAAGTACAGGTACTATCACAGTACTTTAGGAAGTTAATAATGATATTTACTTCGTTTAGAAACTCGAAAGTAATATTTAATAAGATTTAGATTTAGACTGAAATGAAAGCATCAATGCATTATGTATGCATAAACTTAAATTTTAAATAAAACTAATGTATTTAGGTGGCATACTTATATTTTTGCATTTAAATTTTTTATGCACAATTTTTTCCTCATCTTCTAGTCTAAAACTTTATTTCCAATCTTCGTTAAATATAAGTTGCTGTGGTATATAAATACGCACAACATGCTCTCCGTTCTGAACTTATTCATTATAAACATTTCAGAATGAGTTTCATTTCGGCTAATAAATATGCGTTATATGTATAGGAATTGGAGCGTGGCATGGAGGAAGCAGCTAAGCGTGAAGCGGCGTTGGAAGAACAGTGTACGCGGACTGAGGCGCGTCTAAACGAGCGACTTGATGCAGCGGAGGCCCGAGCCACCGCTGCCTTGCAGGACGACGCCAGGCACCGGCAAAAGGTAGACAATAAAACCTAATTCACATAATCAAACTACTTTAGTAATTTCTTTCCATTTATAGAAATAGGACTAATGTTTTGGTAGTCAAATAAATTTACTCTCATTTCAAAGCATTTTACACTCAATTTCACTCAATACAGTTTCAGTCGAGAAGAACCAACAAAACACTGGAATCGAATATTCTACCACTTTTTTTACCACAGGCAGGTATCGGGTAAAAAGTAAACAAATAATAATATTTTTTACTTTTTAAATTTACTGATACTCGGTAACTTTAAAAAGTAGTAGTAATACTCAATTAAAAGTCTAAAAACCGACCAAAGCGTCTAATATAACTGCACTATGCTACTACAACTACATACAGAGTATAAATTAATAACTTAAATTAGCGTGTATGGACTCTATTGCAATGTAGGTGGGTCGATGGGTGTAAATAGTATTCTGAATGATACTATAGGTTGGCACACTGGAGCAGCTGGTGCGGCGTCTGGAGCGCGAGGTGAGCGCGCTGGAGGCACGTGGGTGTCCGCGGTGCGAGGCGGGCGCGGGGGCGGAGGCGGGCGCGGGGGCGGAGGCGGGCGCGGGGGCCGACAGCGACACCGAGAGCGTGGCCGACGTGGCCAGCGCGCAGCGAGCCGTGCTCCGGGAGCAGCTCGAGCGGGCCGAGGGACAGCTGCAGGTTTCTAAATTTCTTTTTTTTTTCTATAAAATTTTCGTTCTTGATACTTGTCATTTTGCCTATGACACTGGCCAGCAATAGCTCGATAATGAGAGTTGATTGTATGTCGGTTTTATTAAATTAATATACATATTTTTATCATTATTAGTTTAAGTAAAGTATGTATGAAGAAACATTGATATTAAAACATCTTAACACATAATGTTACTTATATAGAAATACTTTATTAAATATGAAATATATAATTATTAAACTATTTCATAATTAGTAATATAACCTACACTATATTATGATAATAGGCTCGTGCTGAAGAAATTGCAACTTTGCGGCAAGAGGCACGTACGGCCAATTTGGCGAGATGGCGTAAGGTTAGTTCAATGTTATTTTTATAAAGAAGGAATATATTAACCTTTAACATATAACAAGCAAAAACCTAACCACATTTATTTTAAACTAGGAAAGAGAATACAACGAATTATCCATCGAGGCGAAATCAACAGCTAGAGAGTTGAAACGCCTAGAGGAACGTCTCTCATGTGTGGTCGAAGCACGAAAAGAGGCTGAGAAAAAGAGTACAGCGTTGCAAAGCGAGTTGACAACATTACGTCCAAAGTACGAACAGGCGAGCAAGGACGTGGAGCGATTTAAAGAACAGTTACAGAAATTGCAAAAAGCTCATGAGGTTGCTCAGGCAGAAGTTGATAGGTTTGTTATTTAGAATTTATTATCGAATATAACGTTTTTAAATGCAGTGAGAAAGTAGTAAGCTAGGCATAAAATAAGATTTTAGTTAATAAAAAAAAGCACAGCTAAAATGGTAGTTGTAATAGGTATATACAGAGGAGAATATGTTATTACATATATTCTCCTCTGCATATTTGGGCGAATTTTTATAAATTAAATCTCTATATTAATTTTTAATTTGTGTGTCCGTAATTTATTAACTAACCCTTTAAAACTATCTTATTAAAGTGTGTCAGGAAAATTTAAACGTTCTATGCCAGTAGATGACACAATGTAATATATGACGTATATTTTACTGCCTGTTCCAAAAGGTATCAGCCGCAGAGTAATAAACGTTGATATGTTGTTAGATCCCGCAATGATATCCGCAAGCTGAAGAGTGAGTTGATGTACAGCGAGAAACGTCGCCTGCACGCAGAGGAACAAGAAGAGCTATCAAGCCGCGAGAGGGCCCATATGCGCGACGAACTGCAACAGATGCGCGGACGGAACGACGATCTTCTACAGGTCAGTAGTTGAATTTGTTTCGAGCATGACGCGTTACACTAACATAAAAAATAATAATATTATCTTATATTAATATAATAATAATAACTTCTTCAATTATCTATTTTGCTATTGCTTATCAATCAACCAATCTAGGTTAGCTGCATAGAATGTGGGAGGTGGTGTCAAAATATCGGTTATTCATGATATCGTCCATCATTATTTTCATATATAGATCATTCAGTTCATTTCCTGATTCTATTGATACTGTTTACATTAGATCGGAATGTTACTAATATTATGAAGAGGCAAGATATGTACTATTCTATGATTGTTAATAAAGATAGTTATATAAACAGGAGTCCTATTAGAAGAACGAGTATAATAAAATTGCCTGGAAACAATTGGTTTAACATATGATCGCCTAAAATTTATATGTGAATAACTTTTTTGGACTTGTGATTGATAACCAAATGACAACATGTCACTCTCATTGTTTAATGTTTATTGATTTTGAATGATCATTGTTTAAATACTGAAATCTATTGTATTGTCATTTACTGCACATAATATAAACATAATTGTTTGTGTAATTTGTATGTCAGTCGGGTATTGGCTTGAATGCGCATTACATCGCGGTCTAATAGATAAAACTTATAACCCATAGCAATAAAATAAAAAGTCACAACAAAATATTATTTAAAATCAAGTGCGTTTAAGTTGAGTTTTAAAACTGAACAATATCAATGCCACGTTTATTAGAACAAAATATTTATCGCATACACGTGCATAGATTCAATTTACGTTTCCTTCTCGTAGGGCCATACCAATTCTTAAGACTTAGTGTTAAATAGCTCTGTGAACAAATAAAAAATGTCCATGAAATTAGACCCGTCGTTCTCGTACTATAAACGGAAAATAGCGTGCGAGAAGCCTCCTATTCGTCCGAAGCCTGTGTGCTTGCGGAGCGAGTTGCCGCGCGGGTGCGGGCGGGTGCGTGCGGGTGCGGGTGGGTGCGGGCGGGTGCGTGCGGGTGCGGGCGGGTGCGGGTGGGTGCGGGCGGGTGCGTGCGGGTGCGGGCGGGTGCGGGCGGGTTCGGGCAGGGTGCGGGCGGGTGCGTGCGGGTGCGGGTGGGTGCGGGCGGGTGCGGGTGGGTGCGGGCGGGTGCGTGCGGGTGCGGGCGGGTGCGGGTGGGTGCGGGCGGGTGCGGGCGGGTGCGGGCGGGTGCGGGTGGGTATGGGCGGGTGCATGCGGGTGCGGTGATCAGGGCCGATTCGGCCAGCAACATTACTATTTCAAATTGTTAATTTGCTTGCCTTCAGCTTTCGCCCAATAATAAATTAAGCGAAAAGGAACGACTCTGGGGCTTTTTACCCGGACATACTGCTGGGTTGTACCACCCCCAGCAGTACACCCGTGTAAAAAGATACAGGACTCGCGGAAGTCCATGCTCGCTCCCCACACAAAGAGAATACATTTTATTTCTGTTGTCTATCTACAATCAGCTAATTGGCTTTTTTCAGGTTTCATTGCCTTCGTTATCTGTCGCTTTGAGTTTACACACTTTCAGTGATATGGTATAAATACATTTGTTGTCTTAGATCGCAGCCAAATATTACCTTTTCAGCGTGAATACATAATCCCTCGAGTCTAAGATAGTTGTAACTAATACATTTTTATGTTGCTGAAGTCTGCTTGTAAGGCCTTTTTGGCCGTTCTCATTTAATTATGTTTATAACTATGTTTGTTTGTAAATAGCCTTGGTTTTCCGAAAAAAAAAAAAAAAAGGTAAGTCTTACAGGAAAGTTTTATTTCCATGTGTCCCGTTAGGATTTATATACAATCATGTTGTTTATATAGAATCTAGTTCTTTATGTGCCATGGTTCATTTCCTAGCGCTGTATCAAAGAGAATACCTAATAGTAATTCTATATATTTTTTTAAAATAACAGTTTACTATATCAAAAAACGATCACGCGTAGTATACATTGAGATAATTGTATCTAAATTTATTATTATTATTTTCAGAATAACAAGGCACTGCAAGAAGCGTGCGCTTTACTGGAGGAGCAGCTTACGGATTTAGAAAAGCTAGCTGATCATCACGAGCTGAAGAATAAGGATCTCGAGGTACATTTTTTTACTAATATGCTTGATTGTTTTAAACTTGACGCGGTCATTATTTATACGTATAATTAGTAAAAATCACGGGATCTTACCACGTTTTATATTTATTTGCTGAGTTCCCGATATTTCGTTAGTGTTTCAACCACTATGATCACGGGTAAACTCAGCAAATAAATATAAAACGTGGTAAGATCCCGTGATTTTTACTAATTATACGTATAATATGCTTGAGTACATCATAGTAGGCCAATTGCGGAAAATGGAGTCCAACCTACATTACATAGTATTATATTTTTTAATTATAATGGAATATTTTACATCAAACCAAAACAGATAGCAAGTGATTATATGTACTCTATACAAACATATACGCTTTGGGGCATATCGAGCTGGCTTCTCAGTGGACGGCACCCAGGTTGGCGCAATGTGCCATGAAGTCATCGTATGGGTGACGCTTTTTTTAATGGATAAGAATAGATGATAATGCAAAATCGGTCCCGTCTGTTCTAACGGTTTACGCTGGCGGGACGCCTGTTGAAGGATGATGAATATGAGGTCAGGTCAGTTAGCCCATCATAGCAAATTCACCAATAATTAATACGAGGTTTTCCAGCGGGAAACGCGAAGTTTAAACTGTCATGGTACTTTGTCAGCAATAGGGTTCATTAGGCCACATTGCTAATAATCATCTTTGGATGACGGTTTATGCAGGAGGAGTGCGCACGTAAGCGTACGGAGCTGGAAGCGTGCGGCGCGCGGCTGGCGGCGGCGGAGCGGGCGGCCGGCGAGCACGCGGCCGACGCGCGGCGCACCACGCGCCTGCACGGCGACGCGCGCGAACAGGCGCGGCGGGCGCGAGCACACCTACACCTGCTCACGGTGCGGCCTCAACTTTACTACTTCTCGATCGTTGTAATCCCTAAAAAATATTTTATTCAATAAGTTACCCCAATAATTTAATTTTCAACGCTTGGTCGTAAAGTGGATCTACTTTCTCTTGGTTTTCGATATATAAAGCAGCTCATAAAATACACATGCGGTATAAACTCAAATATTAACGCCTATATACAAAACGCCTGCCAGTGGGAGACAGTTGATAGACAGTAGTTTACTAGATTTTTTTGTAATTGCATACGTAATATACACTGTAAACACCCAGACCGACATAAATAATTATAATCATGAATATAAATTTTTGAAAGTCGTGGGAGGAACCGAACCCGGAACTATCGGAAGTAAGATGATGTGCGAAACCGCTACCACTACCGAGGCCTTTAAAGTACTTAGCCCCGAATGAGTCGTTCTGGGTTGTTACAGTGAGGTTTACTATACGAGTAATATTGTACCGTTAGGAGCGCGTGGAGTCTCGCGAGGCGCGCGTGTCGGAGCTAGAGGCGCGCGTGGCGGAGCTGGAGGGCGAGCAGGCGGCGCGGGACGCGGCGCTGGCCGCCGCCGCGCGCCGCGACCGGGACCTGCAGGAGGAGTGCGCCGCGCTGCGCACGCGGCTGCACCACCACGCCGCCGCCGCGCTGCAGCTGCAGGCCGCGCTCGCAGACGCGCAGGTCACACGCCGCACTACACACGTCACACGTCACATGTCACACCTCGCACCGTACACACACACAGGGACCTGCAGGAGGAGTGCGCCGCGCTGCGCACGCGGCTGCACCACCACGCCGCCGCCGCGCTGCAGCTGCAGGCCGCGCTCGCAGACGCGCAGGTCACACGCCGCACTACACACGTCACACGTCACATGTCACACCTCGCACCGAGGAGGTGCGCCGCGCTGCGCACGCGGCTGCACCACCACGCCGCCGCCGCGCTGCAGCTGCAGGCCGCGCTCGCAGACGCGCAGGTCACACGCCGCACTACACACGTCACACGTCACACGTCACATGTCACACCTCGCACCGTACACACACACAGGGACCTGCAGGAGGAGTGCGCCGCGCTGCGCACGCGGCTGCACCACCACGCCGCCGCCGCGCTGCAGCTGCAGGCCGCGCTCGCACGCGGCTGCACCACCACGCCGCCGCCGCGCTGCAGCTGCAGGCCGCGCTCGCAGACGCGCAGGTCACACGCCGCACTACACACGTCACACGTCACATGTCACACCTCGCACCGTACACACACACAGGGACCTGCAGGAGGAGTGCGCCGCGCTCGCAGACGCGCAGGTCACACGCCGCACTACACACGTCACATGTCACACCTCGCACCGTACACACGTCACACCCAGGCCGCGCTCGCAGACGCGCGCACCGCACTACAATATAGACCGTACACACACACAACATTAGCACAACACACGTGACGAATATAGAAAAAACTGGACACTTTACACCAATAGTAACCTGGAAAAATAAAAAATAATTTTTTCACTACCCTTGAAGTATGCAGTCAGGTTTTTACATTTATGGATAAATTCATATACTTATCACTATGTTAAGAAATGGACAAATTGTTTACTTAAAACTAATATTTCAGGAGGAGTTATCCGCGTCCCGCGAAGCAGCGGATGCGGCGGCCATCTGGTGGAGGACTCGTGAAACGAAAGCCGATGCTACGCTGCGACAGCAAGCCAAACTCATTGACTTCTTGCAGGTAAACTAATAATAATATCTTAGGACAATTCACACATGGCCATCTAGTCTCAATTTAACAAAGCAGAGCTTGTGTGTCATACTTGTGTCGTACCCATAGGTACTAGACAAGTGATAATATGAATGATATTGATGAATCATCCATAATATACATAGAAAACACCCAGACCGATACAAACAATCATACAAAAAATCATACGCATGAAAACAAATGTATGTGCGGTGCGAGGAATCTTACCTGCAACTGTCGGAAAGTAAGGCGGTGTACTGAACCGCTGGACCACCCAAGCTATCAATCTGTGTGTGTTTTATAGATAGGCTTACGTTTTTTGACACCTATAGTGAGTGACACATTCAAATTAATAGAATAATATAAAAGTAGTATTTTATACAAGACATAAAACTTGAACTAAACCATACATAACAAACATGTATTTTTTAAAACTGACATGTGAATTCTCATTATTTAGAATTCCTGTGACTTCATTATGTATATTTTTTATCACATTTGAACAAATATTATTAGGCAAAGGTAGAAGAGGCCGGCCGTAAGAAATGTTCACTCAGCAACAAAATATTTGGACGCTCTGGCAGAAGATTACCCGCTTCACCTCCGCTGAGACGAGTCAACAGGTAATAAAGGCATACATATTCTCAGTTTATTTGTTTATCTACGTGTATCGTTGCTTTAGTGAATGAGAGATCATTTTTGTTAGAGAATTTTAACCTATAATGATGACCAAACAAACTATGCTTTTTATATAAATTATCACTGCTTAGTACCATTTTTTATAAGATAAAGGTACATTGTTTTCCTGTCCTACGTTTATGTATCCATGTTGCAAGCTGTTAAAGCATTTATATTGAGAAGTTTTTTTTTTTGTCAATAGGGAATTGCGCGAGGAAGTAGATAGATTACGAGCCAAACTGAATGAAGGAGACGATGCAAAGTATGTTATACACGTTTAATGTCTTACTTTTAATTTATTGTTCTATTTTAAGATCCAAGAACTGAACCTACAAGACTGGGTCTTAAGTTCTGAATAATTAGTTACATATTTATCTTTATTTCAGCTACCCGCCTACGCCAAGGCGAGAAAAGAAACCACTTGTTAATGGGTAAGTATTTATTATTCTAATGTTTTTTTCACTTCACAAAAAGTAATACTTACTGATTTTACAAATTAAAATTAATTTACTAAAATAGCAAAACATTTATATACTCCATAGTATTTTTTATATGAAGGAATCCAATTGTCAACACCATCAGTACAAGCAAAATTAATAATTCACTATAGGCGTTTAGAACCTAAGTAGTATAACTTGTAGATTGGTAGAAGCAATTAAATGAAAACTTATTAGCCTAGTATTGTGGGGTATAGAGCATATATATATACATTATATGCATATATGTCCCTTGGGAGAAATGTGATTGAAGTTTTGAATAGATTTATCTATGGCTCAGATATTCGTAGTAGTAAATAGTTATAGAATTATATTACGAATTAAAGTTTTTTTTTATTACAGCAGCAAAACGGCAGAGGATCCATATGGAGATGATGATTCACAGTTAACAATAGTGTGGTATGTTTCTTATTTTATCTAAGTGCCTTAATAAAGTATCAAATATGGACAGAGTGCTTATTAAGAAAAACGTACACCCGGGATTTGCTCGGAATTTCCTTCTCTATCACATCATGGACCCGGCTCCCGCGCGGTGAATCCATGGAATGCTAAGAAATCTTTATCAAAATTTACTTAAAGGAAGAAAATTACAAATTATGTTTACAAAATTACCATGATGAATATTCCATACAATTGTATTAGTGGAAAACTATGTATTCCCTTCGTTAAAGACAGTGTCTACAAATTTCGCTTAACCGGCCACCGGCTTATATTATCATTATTTATATTCATTACGATTTGTACAAATTTCATTACTACTTTTTCACGACTACACAGTCATGCAAAAATAGTAATGAAAGTAATATACATATATACTTTACCAGTTATAATATTAGTTCAGATGTAATATTATGATAGCATATTTTTACTATAGGAAATTGTGTGGCTTCAATAATACAGATATACATATGATATTTAATATTGTATATTTGATGATTTGTTCCAAAATATAGTTTTATTACTGCTTTCGGCGTCGTACCAAGAACAAGGGCCGCTCCGCTCCGTTCGAGTGTTGACGGTCCCTTCCTTCGCGCTGCTGTTTATTTATGGTTACGGGTAATAAAGGTCACTGTACAGGGATGACGGCAGCCGCGAGCGTGTGGAGGCGCGGTGCTCCGACGGCGGCCTGGAGCTGCGGCTGGGCGGCCGCCACCACCGCGCCACGCTGCGGGGGCTCCACGCCGACGGCCTGCCGCCGCACGAGGCCGACCGAGCCTTCACGGTCAGTATCTTAACTTATTGTTTGTTCGAGACGAACTGTACATAGCTACTTAATGTAGTATTGGCTAAATTTATAAAAAATATAAATGATTGAAAATAATTAGTGTCTTTAAAGTCATTATTATGATGTTAATTTGAATGTCATGTCTTAGGAACACTTTTTAATAAAATATATTTTAGGTTTGATTAAAATTTAATTAATTTTTTTATTTATATATTATTATGTCTAAATTAGCATGATTCTAGAGCATTATTTATTGTAGTCTGTATTTATTTATACACATGTTATGCTATTACAGCTTAAAATTAAATTTGCTTTATATTATTTATTATTTCTTAATTTGAAACCGCCATATTTATGCGGCGGAGGCTCTTTTTTAAGTTACCCATAAAAATACGTAAGTGATATATAAGCTAATGTATTTTTATAAGCGTTCCGCCTTCTAGTCTGGATATGGGCCATAGAACTATCTACGTGAGGTAACGTGGATGTATGTGGTAAATGTATTGGAATATAGGTGGATTTGGAAGATTCGTACCGCGGCGGGACAGCGACGGTGGTGTGTGGCAACTCTGCCAGCCGTGCGGTGTGGGTGTCGCGTCTGACGCCGTCTCCGCCGGCCCGCACTTTCTTGCCACCCGCCCTGATCCGTCAGCGACCCGCGCCAGTCGCCGCAATCTACGTAGCACCCGATGCCATCGCGCTCGGTAACTACCTCACTCGTACTACACAAATGTTCTATAATATGTTGTGCCTAAACTAGCTTAGTTTTTTTCTCAAGTGTAAAGTTAGTCCGCGTTTCTAGTAACCCATGTAGCACACGATGATAAACTTACGATAAACAATCATTTCACTTGTATACTCACTATCTTGATACTACAGGAAATAAATAAATAAAGTAGCGACACCTAATCACACCATATATACAATATAATAATATTTTTTTTGCAATTTGTCAATTATTATTGGCCAAGTTATGTACAATGTTATGTACTCGTAAAATATTCTTAAATACTTTTTACTTTTTTTATTCGCCGAATATTAATAGATACAGATACGTAAATGATATTCTGTCTGAAAAGTCTGCCATAATACTCTAGAATATTATTGTGACTAACATATTTATTCCCTAAATGTTCTTATATCAACACAATACTTCTATTTAATTAATTCAGAAGATGGAAAAATTATAATTCATTATGACATGACTTATATATATATTATAGTATTTCGCCTCATTGTACAATAGTCACCATAATATCATCGTCAGGTTCTCCGTCGGGGTTACATTCGCTTCGCGGACCGGTGCGATTGCAGTTGGAAGATGGAGAGGGAATGGGTGCGGGTGAGATGTGCTCGGTGACGTCACTGTGCTCAGCTGGAGGCCGCGTGTTGGTTGTGGCGGACGGCTATCTATACGCGGCGGGATTGACGCCGTTTGCATCAGCCATACGTCGCGCCGCCTCGCTGCGGCCCGCTATCGAAGTCTCCGCCATGCATCTTCCCGATGCTGCATCATCATCAACGCCGCTTCTACTTACGGTTAGCATGCACCCTACCATTTTCTTACTGCATATAGGTTTCTGCAATAGATACGGTTGACTATGATGTTATTTTTTATCACTATCTCTACCGTCTTAAGCTACATCAGTTGAGATCTGGCAAGAAACTCGACTGGTTAATTTTTTGTTTATATTAAATTATATATTTATTTAGTCAGTTTTGATTTTTAAACATTATTTTTAGAATTGTTGGCATTGAGTGTATTATGTTCATTGTTTTTTATCCTACTAAGTCGATGAACCTTATAAATGTAGATTATTACCTCGTAAATTTCGTAGAGTATCAATGAACCGTGGTCAGACGGTCCGTGTGCGGCAGTCGCGAGCGGGCGGCACGTGTCTCTGCTGCGGGTCGACAGCGTCGGCCGGCTGGTGGTGTTGCGGTCGCTGCCGCTGCCGCGCGCGGCCACCGCGCTACTCCTGACGCGGCGCGCGCTGCTGGTAGCCGCCGACACCCCCCTCCGCGCCCACCTCCCCGCGGGGACACTCCAATCCTTCGCCATGGAAGAACCCATCATCGCCGCCGCCGCCAGGAAGCGCTCCCCGCCCAAGGCGATGCTACTCGTGCGCGACGATCCCCAAGAAATATTGATCTGCTACGCGGAGTGTGGCGTCTTCGTCGACGAGAACGGTAAGCGCACCCGCAACGAGGACCCCAAGTGGAGTTCGGCCGTCCACGCCTGGGAGTTCGTGAATCCGTTTCTGTATCTGATCGGAGAGGACAGAGTGACTGTCCTCCATTTGAACGACGAGGTATATAGGAATCCCCCGTGTACGTGTGACACGATATCTCTGGCGTCGACGGCGTCCGATTGCTACATGCCGCAGATATTTAACTTGAAACTTAGCGAACCCGCGCTGCTAGGTACGACTCCGACTGGCGTTATAGTTCGGTCGAAAGAAGATGACGAGTATGTAGTCCAAATCGTTGAAGGAATGGCTGCTTTTAAAAGTATCGGCGCGTCGATAGAATCCCTTGAAACCGTATCAGAACGAAACAGTTCTTCGACGGATTTAGCTCAGTCTTTGACAGACTTACGACCTCAGGATGTCCAGAACGCCTCTGAAGAAAGTATAGAAACCACTACGGGTTTCCTAGCCGACATAAGAAACAGAGCGCGCCAGTTACGTAATAAAAATCGAAAGGAACAATCACCAGACGATGTGATAACGGCAATTTTGACAACAGAGATAGGATTGAAACGCTCAACAAATGGTAGAAAATCCCCAGCTACTATTTCAGAATTCGATTCCGATTCTACAGAGACCACAGAAGAAGAAAGAACAGAATCGACCAAGGGGACTTCGGATATATGCGCGGAAATGTTTACTAGACAGGTACGTTTCCAAAATTAGGTAAATATTGTACTTACTAACTCTACATAAATTTTAATGTAATAACTAAATAATAAACCCATCTGTTAATTACAGAGACTTAATTCTGATATTTTTTCAAACAAATTAATTTCAAAATCCAAGGTATGCCAATATTATGAAAATTATGTATTTAGAAGTACTTTCGACTTTATTTTATAAACTTATACACATTCTTTTACATATAATAAATTGTTGAAAGAACAATTGCCCCTCCTATCGAATATATTTCTGATATGTAATTTGTTACTTAACATATTGAATGCCAGTATTTTATGAAAAATAATAATTACTCAAATTGGCTTTGAATACATAGACAATACATTGTTAATTGTTAAATAAATTAGGAGCCTTTTACTGTGATTTGCTACTTAATTTTAATGTGTTTAGATGTAATTTAGTTGGTAAAGTATTTATTTTAGTTACTATGTAGGCAAAACCCTGACTATGTTTTAAGTTGTATGACATGTTAAAATATATATTTTTATATGATTAGTGCCTTTCATTTTTTAAATGAGTTCTTCATTATATTATTTTTAGTACATCCTAGCCAGACAGACGCATTTAATTCCATAAGTTTTGGGTCGGATTCACGGTGATTGGACTTCATGCGATCTGTGTGATACATATACTACTGAGATCCTAACCTGACTGTAGAGTAAGCATAAGAATTTAAGAAATAATGAAAAAATACATAAGTTTATTTAGGGTAAGGATTTGATTTGTGTCATTGATCAATGCTAATGGTTTTCAGGTAAATAAATTTTCTAAGTCAGTGGGAACGAACTGCTTAAGGTATTTTTTTCTACCAGTTTATAACAAAAATATTTTAGTGTCAATTATTTTGATGGGGATCTTAGTTATGTCGAGAATAAGATATAAATGAAAACTTATGAATAAAATTGTTGTTATCTTTATTTACATTATACATTACATAATATAAACTGCGATTTTAAGACCGCTAATGTTTCAAAAAATTATATTATTTCATCATTCATTATTTTCTCAAACAAGAAACAGTAGTTTGTCTAATTGAGAATCGAAACATTCAGTTACCATATATACTTCATTCATAAAGATGGTGTACTTTAGAAGTGTACTACACATGTCTGACGTAGCAGCAGAGATCTATTAATATTCACAAATAATGTATGTACAACACAAATAATTATACAGCGTGTTACTTCTGACGCATATGTCTAACCAATCATATTAGACTCAGTCAAATTAGGTTCCATATAATACAAATACTAATGATTATTACATACACAAATCCACTGGGCGTTCACATAAATACAAAAGATAAAACAGTTCGATTCACACCACACAGTAATTTATATTAAAATACAGATTACATATTCATTTCAGGCAGTTTTGAGAGCATTAAATTGATGTTCATTTACATTGAGATATATTTATATGCCTTAGTACTCACTTATAAGTATATAAGTTATTCATAATTAATAGTCACCAATAAAATATTAAATTGGAATAATATTTTATTCCATATCAGAGTAAGTGAAACAAAAACTGTATGAATATTGTATTTTTCGAATCACTGCGCTATTTTAGCATAGAAAGTAAAAATCATGATAATTTTACAAAGTTTAGTTATTGGTGGTGGAACAATTAACTATACAATAAATCCACTGCCAATATTAAATAATTTGTTTAATTGCAGCAAAGCGTAGTCTACCACATGCCCATGACAAAAAAAAACGTTATCACGCTCTCAAAAGTCAAACCGCAGATTTGCGGTTACAAGGTTCACTCGGTCTTCATTAGCAAGTTAATATTGCTGTCATGGAAGACCAAGAATAGAAAAGAAAATAATTTTAGGTTATTTATGCGTAATTGTACTACACTCACACACTTGAACACATAAAGAGAGTGATCATGGGTTCCTGATATAGTGAGGGACACGCCCGATTTCACAGTGTGATTGATATTTCATTCTAAATGCCTGAATACTTAAACTATCAATTGTGCTTTCTCATCCGTCAACCACGACCGTTTTATCAAGTTAAATTTAATTTGATATACTTGAGAGTATTTATTTAAAACTGGTATGACATATCTATATAATATCTATTACAAAGAATACTGAATCTGAAGTAACATTACTTATTAAAGAGTTTGCTCTTAACTTACTTAAGTTAAGAGCAAATAATATCAAACTTCCTTTGTTATAGTATTAAATGATATTCAGGCATTTATATAGACAAAATACACACACGGTGTCCTTCAAATACATTACTGAATTTCATTAATCATGCAAATTTTGTAATCCACTATTTCAAGTCCAAACCGAGTCGTGACCTTAGATAATTTACCGTTTTCAATAATATAAAAAAAAATGGCTTCAAAACCCATTCCTTCACCGCCTTTTCTAAGTGACCTTCAATAAAACAATGAGATTGATACAGATCGAATAAGACGAAGTACGTGACACTGAATAAACACTTGAATACTGTATCGATAAAACTGCACTCGTATGAAACTGTATATATATATTTCCGTGGCCGCGAGTATCCGCCACGCCACGTTCAGTTAAGGAAGCCTCGACACTGCGGCGCTCCACACAAGCAGGGGATCTTCTCGTCCTCGAGCGGGAACTTGTAGTCGTAAGTGATCTCTTCGTCTACACCAATCGGTTGTTTTGAGTATATTACTATTTTCTTTTGAGACTCTATTGTTATTATCTTCGCGTAGCAGTTAGGCTGCAATAAAAAATATTCACATTAAATTTCTAATCACAATGTTCGCTAGCAAAAACAGAGATAGATATCAAATAAAATTAAATGAAAATAATCTTAGTTTTTCAGTAAGATAGTCGTTCATTGATGACGTAGTTAATTTATTAGAGTTATTAAGAAACTTCTACTCCACAGAGGAAAGTATTTTAAATTATGTTCATTTGTCCCTTTCGTGCAATGCCATTCCGGCGGACTATGTCATATTATCAATTTCACTGTAACACATTACAAATTAACCTGCTTGTTGCCTCAAACAGTTGAGATAGATGTACTCACGGCAATATTTCAATAAAAAAAATCTACCTTGGAAAAATAGATCAATATAGACAACAAATTTCTAATCCTAGACTAGAAATAGCATCGCTGTGAAATATATAATACATACATTGCAACTGTGGTTGATAAATCTGGCCAGGTTGCCGCACTTGGTCGCATCTATGATGGTGTCGAGGTCGATGCGGAATAGATATGAGCTGCCGATGCCGGTCGCCTCATATTGCGCCTCGCGAACATCCGCCACTATCGGACGGATCATCTGCCCCACGTATTCGATCACCATCTCGTCTGCCGCTATCGGCTCCTGTGGCGATCATGTTACTTATTTACTTTTAAACAGTTTAGTACAATAAATATGCTGCCCGTCTATTTCATGGTAAACGGAATCAACTTCAATAGAGATAAAAAACCTTACTAAATAGTTGAAATGCTTTAAATAGGTTCATAGGTACAAATTAATTAGATACAAAAATATAAATATATAAATGATATTTGGTTAAAAAACACTTCTAGATTGAATAAATATAATAAATATTATATATATAATAAATGCTGTTGTAGCAGGGTATAGCTGAATGGTCAGTGTTAGGAAAAGAGATGCAGAAAATTAAAGGCAGAGGGAATAAAAATCTGACCTGAGCAAAGAGACCCCAATCGTGGATGCCAGACTTAGCAAACTTCAACTGTTTCTTTCTGAACTTCAGTTGATTGAACTTCAACAGATCTGAATCCGTATCTGTACCTGTATTAAAAAAAAACATATTCCATTAATTTTATAAACAATGGTTATTAAAAAATTCGTTTTCTATTTTGGGAAATTTAGTACAAATATGTATAGAAACATACTTCTAATTGCTTAAAAAAATTACCCATTTGATTCAAGAGTTTATCATAAGCACAAAAAATAGTCGAGATAAAAATTGTGGCACATACCAAATGCAGTGAGCAGCCTTCTCTGGTTTGACCTAGCCTCCCTGGATAACAGTTGCATCTTGGAAGCTTTCTTGTCGTCTGTTTGTTGCTGTAGCGCTGCGGTGTTGCCTGTACTGCGACCGTGGTGGTATTTATATTTAGCCTTCAATCGCGCGTCCATCTTGTAGTATCCTTCCGTTCGAGCCGACCCACTCGAGTGGCCCTGGGTTATAAACTATGTATGTAAAACATGGTAAGATAAGATAACAAGGTATGACTCGCGATAGACAAAAGAAATAAAAATACTTTGTGCTGATAAGACTCTATTAGCAAGAACTAAACATGGTAATCATATTAAATTCTCAATCCACCCTCGCCTCCGTTACCGTGTATGACTTTGCCTAACTAAGTGTAGAACAGATGAGAACTCAAGTTAATATCCTTATCAAAAATTACTCAATAAGTTCTATTTTTTTAGAGTTTCATGAGCTGAATATTTGTATATGAACGTATCTGCTATGTGTGATGATAGGATCAGTATTAAGAGTAAATGCACACACAGTCGTTTGGAATCATTGTATTTGATTCTTACAAGTCACTACTCTTATAATATTTATTATCACTATTTATATTAAATGCTACGTGAATTACGTGATGTTAGATAAAGGAATTTCATATCACAAATGTGCGGAGAGGTGAGCCTCACCTGCAGGTCCTCATAGATGTTGGTGTGGCGCTTGCTGCGCTTGCGCGGCGGGCTGTAGCAGACGTCGGTGGGCGGGTGGTCGACCCAGTGCGTGTCGTTGAGCCAGTAGCCCTGCGGCTCCTCGGCCAGCAGCGTCTCGTACGCGCGCCGCAGGAACTCCACGTCCTCTCGGTCGATGCCGCGGGTCAGGAACTCGTACATCACCTGCATCTCACTCATTATGTCCCGCGCCTTGAACGACCATCCGTCCGACGTCGGCGTAGTCAGCTCCTCCTGACTCGAGTACAGTCTGTAATGTGTTTTCAATATTTTCAATGGTCTGCTCGACATATTCTTAGTACATGAGACAACAAGGGAAGATAGATACATATATTTACTTATTTATAAAGAGAACTGAATGATCATTCTTTTAGGTTTAGGTAGTGTACCTCACAGTACAGATCCGGCTGAGCATAATAAACAAGAAACTCATTGCAGCATGTTAGAAATATTTATTAAATTTTACTGTATGGTTATTTTTTTATTATACCTGTTATTCTATTATTTATGAAATATTACTAATAATATTATGTAAACATACTTATTCTGTATTTCAGCCAACTTCTTCGTTTCATATTTCCTCTTATACGGCCGTTTGGTCTCTTTCTTAGGTTTGATCTCCTCTTGTATCGTTTCGCTCACTGGCTCAGCCATCCACGTGTAGCCTAATGCAATATAAATAGAAGTAAAAGAACTGTAATGCACTTTTAAATGTTATTAAAAGAACATGAATGAAATTATACAACTATAGACTCATTTTTGTTGCGAAAGATCGCATATATCACCGTGCAGATACAGCATACTGCCCTGATACAGATGGTAACATTATATAGAAATATGTCATTTACACCTATCAAGCTAGTCTACATTTGTATTCTTAATTTGAAGGGAATCAAAATTTACCGTGATCGTGTTGCAGATGGTTGGAGGTACGTCGTTGTGACCCGAGCGTGGGCGAGGGCGAAGCGCCGGGTACTGCGGCGGAGTCGGCGAGGTCGGGCGGCGGCCGGCAGTACGAGTGGTCGAGCGCCACCTGCGACGCTTGCGACGCTTGCGACGCCTGTGACTGCGGCGACGATGTCTCCGACAACGCACTGCTGGCCTGCAACGTTCATAACAATTATAATATACCACAATCATTATCCCATCATATTGAATGAATTTACGACGTCGTGGTAGACGCTACACATGACGGACCATATTCGTTGGATATGTTTTAACCCAAGGTGAAACTTATGCTCATCTTATCATCTTCCACAGTTAGCGCATGTGGGTGCGCCATTCCATTAACATCCATAAAAAACCCAAGATGAAGGGGGGAGGGTGGTATACAACAAGGTTACCACCCTCTCAAGTTCAATATGCAATGTTTATTATTTGATATGACGAACAAGTCGAGACTGTAGTACAACAATAATAAAACTATAATACAATGCAATACTTCTTCAAATATATCAATTACTGTGGTTGTACAAATATTAACTTACTTCTTTAACTCCATTAACGCTAATATTAGTCTCGTTGTTGCTGTGATCACTGACAGATACAATTCTTTTTCTCTTATCATTCTTCTTCGATCTCTTTTCCTTTATTCTAACTTCTAAAGGCTCCTCTTCTGAAGATATTTCACCTTCTTCTAACCCCTCTTTAGTCTCTCTCTTATCGGGAGATTTCAAATGGTTCTTGACAGGACTACTTCTGGACTCTTCTGGTTTGCTTTCTTGTATGCTGGACATGAAAATATTTAAAACCAATAAGAAGCGTAGGGTGACTTAAGATGATGCTTGGGTATTAGGATATGATATATGGAGACAAATTTCTAGATCTAAATAGAAAGGAAATTTTCATTAAACGAAGAAATTCTTTCTCTGTTCCTGCACTCCTTATCTCTACCTGATATCATGTCATTAGGTAACTACTGCTCGAATGTTATACACAATAAACATCATACTGCAGAAATTTCTCAAAGAGGTAAATTTTTGAACTAGATAATAATACCTTTCGTCAGGAGGTTTATCAGGCTGTGGGCGCATGGCCCCTTCCATTGTTTTTCTTTGCTCCTCCAAAAATTCTCTCTCGATCTGCTCCATATATTCGGTATTTCGTCTTCTTCTCTCCTATAAAAACATACAATGACAATTTGTAGACATAACATACATAAAAATTACATAAGTCATACATAAAAATGAGCATTTTTTTTACAAAATACAATTTCTTATCACTGCTTTTCATCCCCAGAATGTCGACAAAGGAGATGACTTAAGAAACGAAACATAAACACAGTGTTGTTCCTACAGTACTGTAGGAACAACTTCGAATATTTCTCTTTTGGGTTATAGGCATAAGGCCTAAATTTTAACATGACACCCTCATAATACTTAACAAGTCAAGACTAAGAACGTCAATGCCTAACATTAAAATTATTAAAATATAATTATGTGTTCAAATCGATGTCTAAATAGCACTGTGTCTATAATGGCTAATTACTGAGCGTGGAAAATCTTCAAAAGACCCCGCCGGAGGGAGGTCGAGGCCGTCGGTGTGTAAGAAATTTACACACCAAAACCCACATGGCGTACCTAGGAGCGCCTATGCCGGAGCCAGGGGTTTCGCATGTGCATTCTATCCCGACTCCGACGGCGACGGCCCGCCCTGTAGATGTTGCGTGGATATGTGACGTACCTGGTACTCGCGCTCCTCCTCCGAGTCCGAGTAGACGCGGTCGAGCAGCAGGTCGCGCGGGCCCTCCGGCGACACGATTGGAGAGCCCAGTCGCTCTTCTGACGCCTCCACCTCCGGGATGGGCGTCTTTTCTGGTTGTAAAAATAATGTAGAATAGATAGAAAATTCTTTATTCCAATATACTCATTTATTTTTAATGTACCTCTCATGTCGAACAACAACAACAACATGATATCGTATATACTGTTATAAAATGACAAGATTATTTGTATTAATTGATTGGAATACCAAATAGTTGTTTTGCTCAGGTCAAGTTGCATAAATAACTCATATGATTAGTTCTTAAAGTAACAATTCTGTATGATTAAAACATAACATGTAAGACATTTTTACATACCCCTCTCCCGTCTCCTCTGTTCTTCTTCACTATCTGATGACGATGAGTATACTCTTCGTAATCTTTCCTTGTTTGATACAACCTTGAGCTAAAGAAAAAGATTAGTTAAAATCTAGATTTTGTATTCTCTACATTTATACCTATATTTCGTTCATTTAGTAATGATTACAAATTAGTATGTAAATTGCGTTTAAACCTAAAAAAACTTTTCAATTAAGATTATAGGAAAAGAATATCTATTTTCTTTTATGCTATTGTGTTATAATAATAATAACCTAGTTGCACAGTGTCATCTAGTGCTAAGTTAAGCGGAGCTTGTTACACTAGACAACTGATATATATATATATTTTTCGTATATATATTATTTTTTTCGTATTAGAATTGTGAGTCCACAATTCTTGGTATAATAATATTTATGACGGTGTCAATGGTTTTGTGTTAAAGCTTATGAAAGGCAATATAAAATACCTCAGCGTCTTCGAGTTCAGAATCATCGTCAGTGTCAGAGTAGATCCTAGGCGCGGGGCCTTTTCGCTCCGACTCTGACTCCGACGACGACGACCGCGATGACGACGACGACGATGACCTGTAAAATAATACAAATTCATTAGCATGAGCGTAGCTACGATGGGGAAAGATGGGGCACTTGCTCCACCCTGGCTCTGACCACTAAGGTACATAGCCAACCCTAAAAAAAATATTAAAGTAATGACTACGATACTTAATATCCGTAAGAAAGTTCAGACTTGCAGTGGACACAAAAAATAACATATAGATACGGGGTATAGAGTGTAACTGATTTGTATAAAAAAAAATCCGGGTAAGACTCCGAGAACAGTTAGTTACATAATATTTTAAACTGTTGCCGCACCCTGACCCTTGCTATCTATCTACGAATTGTGCTGTAACAGTAGAATTTTTTTTTTTCTTTTCTATAAATTTCAATTAATAACAATTGCCTTTTGTCTAGTATAATACCTAGAGGAGCTAGTGGATCGCTGCCGTTGACTGCGGGAAAGGTACGAGCCCGTAGTCCTGTGATTTGGACTTCCTGGTACTTCCTTTTCTTCGTCTGAATTTTGAACCATCTCCTCCTAAAATGTACGTACAAATAGGGTTAGTCTACTTGAATATTTTATCAACAAAGTATAACGACAACATTATACATCGTTGTATTATGAATAGTATGTAATGCTCACTACCGAATAAACTCGACAAAATAAGAGCACGTCGAGTATTATGTTCATAATAGTGTAGACAGTTCACTGCCTCTTATTGGAGTTGTCATAGGTATCTGGTATAAATGATTGTAAGTAGGAAAATAGAAACAGTGCCTTGAAAGAGTTATGTTGAAATGTCAGAAAAAGAAAATTTATTTCACAAATTCTTAACTCTCTCAAGTTATTTATTATACCTGATCACTCAGCCTCTTAGAAGAGTCCTCGTCCATAACGACAGGTGAGGGTATCTTCCTCTTGCGGCGGAAGCTCGGCATCTTGGGAATGGCGGCACGGAGACCCAGCCCAATGCCTGAACCATATCCGCCTAGCTCCAACCCGAGTTCTCGTGTTTCCATTATAGTCTTAATTGAGTCTACTGGCTCTTCCTTTTTGTTCGAAATGTCCTAAACGAATTATTTAAATAAGTGGATTAAGTTTGTACATATACTCTATTATATAAACTTTTTGCTAAGTAAATTAGATCATTATTTCATACTAGCTAGCCCGTCCCGACTTCACACGATATATATGTATTATTATACATATCAATCTTCCTCTAGAATCACTCTATCTAGTGCTAAGAACTGCATTAAAATCGAGTTTGTGACCTATAATTTTCATAATATATAACATTGTCATATATTGATATTAGTACATAGTATATTGATATTTGTATAGAGGGTCTGATAATTTAATTCAAAAGAAATTAAAGAAATATATATATCTCTTATTCTATATATATACTTTACCTGCAATGGTTGGCCAGTATCCTCGGGTTTCAGTTTAACACTCTGTCTCAACTTGCGACTTTGCTCGTCCCACCACATCTCAAAGCTCTTGAACGCGGTGCTCTCGATCATCTTCTTATTGAAATCCTTTTTCAAAATCTGCTTAAGCTCGGTTGTTACGCGTTCGATAACGCTATTGATAGTTGGGTAGTACGGATTGTCCATTTCTTGCTACATAATTAAAAATAACTTATTTAATTTCAATTAAATATATATGTTTATGATCAAAATCATACCGTATATAAGGAAACACAATTGTACTAGGATGTAAGCTGTGATATGTAAATACTAACAGCTGCCAAGCGAGTCATGGTGTGCACAAATATACTTTTATTAAAAAAATTGTCCGTCTGTCTGTTTGGTCCTGTTAATCTCCGCACCAAATAGACCGATTTGGACTGAACTTTCACTAGATAGTTAATTTATAACATAGGCTACTTTTAATTTTAAAACAAATAAGGCTAAAATCCACACAGACACGTAGTCTGAGCTAACAATTAGTAGTTGATTTACGCTACCCGTCACTCCCATCGCCTTATGAGCCGCGGTGGCTTCTTAGTTATTTGTGCTAATACTGACCTGTGGCGGATGGTGCGTTTCATGATAGGGCGCGTAGTGCGGTAACAGTGGTGGTCCTCCAAATGGGGCGCTGTACGCCAGCGCCACGTCCGCGCCCACCGCACGCACCGGGCCCATCGCTCGCACCGCTCCATACCCGCCCGGATATGCTACTGACAATGAGGAATAATAATAATAAATAACCCTGGAATTCCTACAATTCCAGTAGTCAACCAACGATCTACAAAACGCCCACTGAACCTAAATAGGCAAAACCTCAAAATAATGATAGGGACGATAACAGTTTCTTTAAGGGACAGTGGTCCATCCATTAAATAAACACTTGTAGGTGCTACGGACAGTCCCCTTTGTCGGGGCTGCTTTGAAGTCGTATAAACGGCCGCTCACGTAATCCTGGAGTGCGTTACAGCGGCCACACAACGCAAACAAATCCTCGGAATCCGTGTAGCCTGCGAAAAAGCCAGGAGACTGCTGCGCTTTTGGGAAGAGCTTGGCTGACTACTTTAGTAGTTTCGCCTCAACAAGTACAACGGCCCAGATGAGAGGCTGATTACCGAGAACGTCACCATTATAATTTACTTTTATATTGAAAAACATAGAAGATGTAGCAAAACATATGTAGGATGGGAGGCACTCACCGACGGGGGGCCACACGTGGTGGTAGTAGTGGGGCGGGTGCGCGGCGGGGGCGGGGGCGGAGGCGGGGGCGGCCCCCGTGTACGAGTAGTACACGTCTGCCGGCACCGCCTCCTCGATCTTGGCCTCCGTCGACGACAGCGACGACAGAGACATCTGTTGAAACCATAAAAACAATGAAGACAGAGACTTTATGGTCATGTTGAAACCGTATATATTAAAGTTAATATCATGAAGCATCTACACCTATACGTCTGTTAGTTTGTTCCAAATGAATCTTAATAAAATTTTATAGTAAAATGCCATGTTAATGTTGCCAAAAATATGTATCCAACTTGATGTACTGTCTTTCCAAATTATAAAATCTAATATTTTATTTTATAATGTACAATTGATCTGGAATGTTTTCATGAAATCAAACTAAAATATCTTTATTGGTCTGGGTCTATTGTAGGCTGGTATGATATGTCAAATCTACTCTACTCGCTGATCTGTAATAGTTAGTAACAACTGGCAATTCTTTTGTGGACTCCCGCCATATAAGTTCGTCTAGTGCGGGGTTCAATGTATAATCAACTTTATAGTATTTGTATGTTTTAAAAAAAAAGTCTTTACTGGAGCTCGTAGGAATAAATAATGCTGTACTGTACCTGGTCGTCTTCTAGGTTGTCCAGATCACGTACGTCGGTCGGCGGAACTGAGCGCTGCCGTTTTTCGCCCGTCAGCAGCTCGTCTTCCGATGACGAGATGTCCGAGACGATTTTGTCAATTGTCGTGGACTTACGGGGCGCCGACTTCGTTTTCGGCTTCTACGAAAGCAAAGTACACATATACCGGATTATTTTTTTAATATGCAACACAAAATGTGTGTTTAATAGGTTAGTGTTTCGATTATATTTAAATTTTTAAAATTGTTTTTGTTAGTTTAATTTTTGGGTGGAAGGCTTATATATTACATAACCTAAAAAATATGATACCATCCAATGTCTTTAAATTAAACCATATTAGCCCTACTCAGGATACCAAAACACATAGATATACAAACAATACACTATATGTGAATGAGTAGATGATGAGGAAACTTTTTACTATAGTTACTTGTAATTCTAGTTTGACTATGTATGTTGCCACTATTACTTCCGTTTTTATGCCAAATAAACAGGATACAAACATTATTAAAAAAGAAAAAACACATCTTTAGATGTAATTACAACAAAATCTTTCAAAAGCATTTTAGTGCAAACTGGCAGAAGCCATCCACTAAAATCCTTCTATAGTACATAAGTCAACTCGTAGTAGGGTAGCTTTATTCATAAATACATGTCATGATAATGTAACGTGCATATATTACCTTTTCAACCGTCATTTGTAGACATTCGAGATAGTACTCCCTGGAGAGGTATGGTGAAGGTGTGGTCGATAATGGCTCTGGCTCTATATCTCTTGGTTCCTCCAACGATATTATACTCTCCCGATCATCGCTTACGGAATCTATTGAAATCAATAAAATGGATTTATACTGACTGCATAACGACGTGTAACTTTGCACCTATCTCTTTATGTTCAGGTTATGTTGTTTTTTTTTTTGTAAGGAGCAATAACCAAGTGCCTTACACATAACTATTATATCATATCATCTTCGTAACTCTACTAAAGCTACATTAGTTGGTTTCGGAGATTCTTTAAGTATACTATAAGACAGCATATTATATATGTGACTTTGTAAGTCAGTTTGGGGTATCCACGGTACTTGGATTCTTACACTGTTTGTGAATTGAATCGATTATCTGTTCCGATTCTATGCATTAATTTGCATGCACGAACAAATCTTTTCTCTTATTATTTCACTTTTTGTGTCCGTTGTTTAATGTCTGTACGAATTTGTTTGTATATGTAGTATACTTTATCTTCTTTTTATTTTTTATAATATAATAATAATATCTCTGGATACATAAGGAGTTTCTTGCTAGTTCTTCTCAATTGGATCTATATACTGAACTGGACGGTAGAGTAAAAATTAAAATTATAATATAAAAAAAATTACATTCAGAAGCGGATAAAATGTCCTACATGAATAAATGATTTTGAATTTGAATTTGAATTTGAATGCTATCTAAGTTCATCCTAGTTGTTGCCGATGGCAAACCTTTTTGATAGTTTTTATGTTTTTTTATATATATTTGAATTTTATATTTTGACGTTCTGTTTTTATATACCGTTTGTTTTCTTATGCCATATGGTCTTTATATTTTTGCTAGCGAGCTGATTACAGCTATTTTACCTCACCTAAGAACGTGTCTCATTTTTAACCAGCCTTAATACAGTCCATCCTTCCTTCCGTAACACTAGTCATCCCATCATCTAGTCCCAAACTAAGCAGAGCTTGAGTTATGAATAGTAGACTAGATAACTGATATAAATACTTCAATTTATATTTTTATTATTTTGGGAATCGAACCCGCCACCATCGGAATTAAATCGATGTACTAAACCGCTAGATGAACCGAGGTCGTCAGGTATCTAAATGTAATGTAATTTATTCAACTACAAGTATTCTCCGTGGGCAGTTTAGTCGTGGTAGTGCGTACCGTCGTCGGAGGGCGGGTGGTGTGTGTCGAGGTCTGGTATGTTGGTGGGCAGCCGGTCGTCGTCCTCCTCCTCGGACGACATGCCCAGGGACAGGAACGGCGGCGCCAGCGCACCCCCCGTGCCGGCCCCGCTGCCTGCGCCTTTCAGCAACATAGCTATCCTATAGGGACACGAATAGACAATACAAGCATGAAGACGACTCATGTTTAATGTTCCATGGAGAAGAAATTATGTAAAATTAAGTTGTTATCCTTGTAATTAGTGTATATACATACATATACACACATGAATATGTTGAAATCTTCCTAAGTAGGCATATTGGGAAACTGTATAGGTCGCTTAGTAAGATGTAAATAAATAAATGTTGTTCACAATTATAGTTTAAAGAATTTTGTGTGAACCGAATTGAGCCTTCTTTATTCTTACCCATGGTGTCAGATTAAAGTTTGGATGAATTAGGATTAGGCAAAATTGGATGCGATGTGCACTGCACACACGCGCTGTCCAACAAGAGAATGACGGAACATAACGATAATTTAATAGTGCAGGGGTAGTATAATAGGGATCTTTAAAGTACTTAAAGGTAACTTATGTAAAATGTATACCTAGTATCGAGATCAACGTTCTTAGGTTCGTCTGCGGGCGGAGGCGGTTTCGGCTCTGGTTCCTTATCCTCCACAGGATCTTTTGGCGGCCGGGGTTCTATTGGCTCAACAACTTTGTTCTCCACTGGAACCTCCTGCATTCAAATGTTATAGCAAACGATGAGCAGTACTGGGAAACAGTTTTACTTTTTATCACACATAAATAACATATTACAATTTGACTTTGATATTATAATTAGAAAATAAAATTAGAATGAAGTCATTCTATAATTGATTGTTACGAAATCATTATTATTTAAAAAAATGAATACGTATCAAAATTAAAAATAATAGTTTCACTGATGCAGTTTAATTAGAATAGCAAACAAGTAGACGGCCCATCTGATGGAAAGTGTTAACCGTCACTTAGAATGCATTGTGTTTCCTAGGACTAAAGTTTTCTACCTCACATATAACTCTCACTGTTATAACCAGTACATATCTATATATATAGCAAAACAAACTGGTCACGGGAGAAATTGATTACACAAGGCATTCACGCCGTCAAATATACATAATATGAATATTTTATAATATGATAAAGAACCTCTTTCCTTTCCTTTTTTTAATGTTGTGTATATTCATAAATTTAAGTATATAATTATTTATTCGAAGAAATTCGGATATAAATTAAGATAGTTATACTACAAGTTTAAGCAGTCACAAGTTTAAACAATTAAATTGCATAAATATAGTGTCAAATAAAAGTGAACAATCATTGCTATATTCTACATAATATTTAAACACTGATTAACATGATACAAAAACATGCAATTATGTATAAGATTAACATAAACGATAAACAGATGACATGAACATGCACATTTGTATACTTCTATCACATGCATTCTTATTTCTTAATACCCCAGAAATACATTTATAATATAATATGATTGATCTAATTCCAACAAGACACCAGCTAAAATATTAGCGATGTTACATTGCAATACATTTATCTACGACTTTAGTGTCTAAGTGTACAGTACATAGAATAACCCGATTGGAAATGACTGAAAACATTTGACGTTAAAAACATAAGATGTATAAATTCTATTTCATCCAAATCCTCGGTGGCTTTTGGATGTTTTCTTGGCATATGTCTGTATATGTATTTTGTATTTTCAAATAAAGCAGACGTGGATATTTTGGGTTCATATTTACGCATTATATAGGAATATATTAAAATTGTTATATCCACTTAAACCCATTTTAAATATTGCAGTGTTTTAGCTTTTTCTTTCAAATGACGAAATCTTCTGTAATGAAATGAAAAAAACATTTCAATAATTTAAACAGGTCTATTCGGCGTTTGTATAAATACCGGGATAATATAATAGACCAGTCAAGTCAAGTATTGCATTTGAAACGTCCCAGTGATAAACAAATTACGATGTTTTAAATATTATACAAAAACCACTATTTTTCTACCATTCTGCTATATATATATATATGTATAACTTCAACTTTTCTCACAGAGGATAAAGTTATCTACTTCAATAACATCAATCTTTTTGTATTTTTTAAATATTTTTAGACAGTGCAGGCACAGTAAATAAGTGCAAAAATGACATATTTTCCGTGATAGGCCGAATCGAGTGGTTGCACTACTGGACCTTTTCCTTGTCCTTTTTCTCCTTGATCTCGGGCTCGGGCTGCGGCACGGCCGCGGGGGTGGAGGCCCACGACGGCGTCGCGCTCGCCCGTCGCTCCAACTTCAGTCATATCATACATGTTACATCGTACTATTTGGGCCTATATTACTCCTAGGTATATTACAGTAAGGTTAGAGGAGAAAATACGCAAGTAGACCATGACTGAAGAGCTTTATTTGTTTTGATTCATTAAAAAATTAAAAAATATTATATACAAATAATGTGACGTGTTCACATACTACCATAAATTTTTTAATATTATATTGTAATGTATCTATTGAAATATACCTAATAAATAAACGATTGAAATCTATAATATTAAAAGTACTTTCGAATTAAAGCTTTCATCTAATTTATAATTAACGCGAATACGATATTTCTATGAATTTTAAAGTATGTATCTAGTAAGAGTCGAGCGTTAGTCTTCATTTAACTGGACACATTTATCTTACGTATTACATAGTGATCGATCTAATAGTTCATTTTATTGTTCTGTTGTACAGTAAATAATAAAATGTACAAATGAGTTTATGAAATGATATGAAAGAAGCAATCTCAAAGTGCAAAGTCGTTATTAATGCTTCATACCCACACTTACGAGATTTTGGATCATATTATACGAATTTTATAAAGAGAGGGAGCAGACTAATGCTATAAGGGAAGTAAACACCAAAACCACAGCACCGATATGAGCATTTATTTCACTCTTTGAACGGTATAGTATTGCAGTATGACAGGGACTATATATTATGTAAATATGTAAAACAACTCGCAATGTTATAAGCACCCGGGGAATGGCGGAGTGAGTTATAAGTGGGTAAAGAGAAGTGATTAATACTCACGTGCTGGTGATGTTGTGTAGGCGTGTGCAGCGCGTGCTGGTGAGGTTGACGCCAATCGTTCCACCATACGCCGCTACCGCCCGGAGTAGCCGCGGTCGCTCCATACCCGTAACTGTATCTACATATATAAAACTTCATTTAAAATATGAAATTATTCACATGAAGCTGTACTTTTATTACATATATTACAGTATACTATAGCCGCGCCCCAACTTCGCATTAGGTTTTTATCACACATGTACATCCCTCGATATTGATGTCTTAACTTTGCTCTATTGTCAATAACTTCCGTAGCGTATTTGATATAAGGATTGTCTCTTCCTGATGAACATAGTCGATCAGAAATAACGTACGTTCGTAAACAATTTTTCAAATAGGTAGTTTCAGAGCCTATTTAAAGCAAACAAACAAAACTTTCATTTTTATCGTATTAGTATAGATATATAGTAATATATTATCGAGGTAGATTTTGCTGCAGCTTCTTCACACAGTATAATATCAGGTCGCATTCTGATTCGCTTAGATATTTTAAACTACGCAAGGTGACTGTGTCCCATAGATTTCAATGCAGTTTTTAGCAATAGATAGAGTGATTCAAGGCCAAAGTTTATATGTTTAATAAATGTACACCCATACGAAGCCGGGGCGGGTAGCTAGTGTTTTATAAACTGCATTTCAGTTTAAATGGTGAGGTGACAGTTAGATCCATGAGTGAAATTCATGACTTGTACACCACAGGTTTTAGTTTCCATCAGATGGGCCATCTGCTTGTTTCACATTCCCTTTACAAAAATATCACTTTCGTGTCGATTAATATCAGGTTTTATGAAGTAGTTATAAAAAAATTAAGGTGCTAATATTATTTAAAACAAGAACATACCCTGGCTGCTGGTAGTAGGCATCATATGGTATTGGTCCTGCGGGAGTATAGGGCACTTCAGAGGTGTGGCTCGATGACGGATACGCCGGCTCGCTCGTCTCACTAGTGCCACGTGAATAACGCTCCCTGTATCTGTTATTGTCGCCAGTTATTAGCTTTAGTTATAACTATACAAGCTGGAACTGAATAGTAAGGTAACATATTACCAAACTTAAATTATGTATTATTATTATATATAATAATATCTTATGTATTATTATTAATACATAATTTAAGTTGTTACTTAAATTAAACTTTAAATATTATTTAAATAATTAAAGTAGTAGTTTAAAATAGTTTGTGTGATAATTTCAGATTTTTAAATGTTTTTAAGTATGTCTAGCAGTATCTTAGTATCTATACAACAAGCACTGCTTAGTTTGGTACTAGAAAGTGCTGTATGAGTTGTAGGTTTTTGTTTATTACTTATTTTACTTTAATATGCCTATTAAAAATTACATGTTTATAGAATTAGTAGTTTATATATTTTACAAAGGTTTTAGTGGAAAAAAATATATGTCAACATAAAATATAATATATAGTAAAACAGACAGTGTACCTTCGTCTACACTTCCTCTTGCATCGTCTGCTTGTGAAATTAAAGCATCAAGTTTATTGTTTATACTAAAAAACCTATGATCGTTAGTGCTCTAATTAATAGTATTCAAAAAGGAAAAATCTATGGGTTATTTACAATCTATTTCCAGTTAAATTTAAAATGTACATGCGCACAAAATGGAATTTATGAATTCATGTTCAATATATATATTCTTATAAAAATAGAATTGATACTATTGAAATAATTCAACACATAATTCATTAAAAGAGTCACTCACCTTTCTCTATGCCTGTCTCTATCTCTATCCCTATCCCTATCTCTGTCTTTGTCTCTGTCGCGATCACTGCGACTGCGATGCTTGTGTCTGTGTTCCCGTTCCCGCTCCTCATCTAACCATCGTGCATTGCTGTCACTGTGTTCCACATCTTTGTACCGAGAATATGGCTCCTTAAAAATATATATAATTCTTTATAATTGTGTGCTTTGTCAACATAATATTATTGTAATCTAATTATTCCTTGGTTTTATTTAGTTGCATAATACTGATTTCTAAGTTGTATTTTACCATCTGTTTAAACTCCAATTTAATAATTATTATTTTCTTTTCTCACCTTTTCAGTTAATTTAGTTTCCTCTAATCTTTTGCTAAGTGTTGGATCAACTGGTTGACGTACATCTTCAACCACAACTGGTGGCTTCATAGTGGGAGCGAGGGGCTGTGGCCTCTTCTCCATGGTCTTATCTTCGAAGATCTCTTGACACTTCTTACCAAATGGATCATGAAATACTTCTAGCACCTATTAAAATAATATCAATTAAATCCATATACTATTATATTGTAAAAGCAGAAGTCTGTTTGTTACAATATATATTTATTGAATACAATCTGTTACATACTTTTAAAAATATAGACATTAAAAAAAAAGTATGAAAATCTACAACCTGTGACTGTTTATTTCTATATCCTATGATATCTTATTGTGAACTTTTACACCTATTCCCATAAAAAACCTATTGACTTTTTCTAAATGATACCTGGAGACAGCAAGTTTGTCTTTAAATCTAGCATTAATCCTGAATACTACTTCTTTAAATGTTGGCCTAAAATTTAAAGTCATCTACTCAAGCTTGGATATAAATATTATAACAATTAGCTCTAGCTTAACAGCAACTTCTGGAGCACTAAACATAAGAATGGAATTTCTTCCATATAAGCAATTTTATGTACTACTAACTGTACCTGCAACTTAGTGCGCATGGAATTTAACTTTATTTTCTAAAATAACAGTAGCCTAAGTTACTCCTTATTACAACTGCTACCTGCCAATAAAAGTGCCGTCAAAATTGGTCCAGGCATTTTAGAGATTAGCCGGTACAATCAGACAGACAGACAAATATTGTAAAAAACATTATTTTGGTGTATGTATTTGTATTTATATTTATATGCATGCAAAAAATGGCTATTTCAATATTACAAAAGGACACTCCAATTTTATTTATATGTACAGATTATAAATTGTTACTAAGCAAAATATGTATTAAATAGATAATTTCTATTCATGTTACAATTATTTATATTAAAATATACATACCTGGCCCATGACAGATTTCCCATTATATTTTTCTATACATAATTTAGAATATTTTACATCTTGGAAAACTAATCTTGCAAACCCTAAGTGTCTATTTGTTATTGGATGATAGAATATTGTCAATTCCTCATATGGGCCTATTTTATTCATCATGTCAACCAAAAATGCTTTATCAATGTTATCATTCAAATTTGCTATAGTTATCTCTAGTTGTGGTGGTACGCCTACATAATTTTTGTCAATTTTAAATCTGTAAAAAATAGTGTAGTTATCATTATTATAGGTTATAAATTTCAAATTTCCCGCCAGTCCATTACATGTCAAGTTAATTTCAGTTGGCAGAACTGTACAATAATTATTAAAAACAAAGTAAATATAGTAATGGAAAAAATAACCAAAATTATATTTAATTTCCAAATATTCCATTACAATTTATTTAAATCTAAATTGTATATATATTTATGCAACAGATTATTGCAAAGATATAATAAAAGTTATAAGATAAATTACACATACAATACACAAATGTATACTGCAAGTTAATAGAAAATGAAGTTTTTGTTAATAAATTACTTTATTTCAGTATTTTAAATTGTTGTAAGCAATAAACTGCTCCAATGAATTCTGTACCCATGAAAAATACTGCTCTTTGACCATTGACCGCAGTAGTCATTTCCAATATCAACATCAATATTAGAATATTAGTATACCTGGGTACTGGTAAATCTGCTGGTTCAAGTCTATTCCATATTCTCGAGAGCTGAGATCTAGGATCTCTGCACTGTACCGGAGGATAATTTGAATCTCCAGGAACACATCCATCATATCTGTACAATTTAGCTGCTACTTTCACAAGGAATGGATCCATAAGCAATTTGTAGTTTTTGTGTGCTTTATGCAGCACTGCATTGTGACCAGGAGTTTTGTGCTCCATTCCCCCATTCATTCTGAAATATAAAATTGTTTTTTATAACATAACCTCAACTTTTTACTATAAATTGATAGATTTTTAAAATATTATTCCTACTTCATTTCTATTATAACAGGATACATGAAAGGATTTTTTTAATACACATTTAAGCAAAATTTTTATTATAACAAACCTGAAATACTTATAAAACAATATGCAATACGAAATTGTAAATTCTCGTTTTTTATTCCTACTGGCAGTATACATACGAGCCTATGAGTACATTATTTGAAGAAAATAGTACTTATTGCAACAAACATGTTTCATTAATTAGTTTTATTATTTAATATCACAATACTGAATTTATTTGCGAATGAACAAACTCCATCCTTGGTGACAATCTCTGAGGTGCTATAAAATAAAAGAAAAGAGTAGATTACAGTATATACTTACTTCGTATAGTTTTCCATGATAAAATATTTTGACGATGTAATACAAATATTACGCCATGGTTATTAAAAATTAAAAATGATTCTGTAAACCAGACAAACTAATGAGTTTTTGGTTTGAGTACTTGCACAATGTTTATCATAAAGTATGCTAATTCTTACTGAGACTGTATTACAAACATAATACTAGAATTTCGGTACTTTATGAACATAAATTATTTCCCCTATGTTGTCGCCATGTATGTAATGTCATAATTTATTTGCCATATGCGAAAATTAAAACTTATTTATTTTCTTAACAATATATATTATTTATGGGTATGTTTCTATTTCTTGTACATAAATTTATTTTATTAGTTGAATATTATTTATTTTTATCCCGCAAAATAAAATGTAGTAATTTTTTTTTTATGTAATAAGTAGATGTTAGATTAAAATGAATCCACATTTACTGTATTGTAGGTTTTGTAATAAATCACGATTACGACATAATTAACTATTCTGCATTTTTACTTTCTAATTAATAGTCCTTCCTTATTCTGTTTAACACTTTTGTTGTTGTAACTCTTAATAGTTAATGTAAAATATCATATCATGGTCATGCAGTATCGTAAATAGTTATTTTTAAACTTTTGTATTTAATAATAATAATTCGTAAGTAGTTCGAAATTAAATGTGTATTTTAAATGTGGTAATCTATACTAATTCCGTCTTACTGTCAGTGTCTAGTAGCCAAAGATTTGTAAGTAAATCAGAGGCTAGTACCACAGATCAGAAAATAATCTCTTGTCTATAGTAGTGTCCGTCAGTCAGTGCTGTCTCAACAATATTGGTGTTCTGTGCTGCTGTCTGTCTAATCTGGCAACATTTTACTGTTCTCGTTACATCATCGATTTTGGTAATTTATTTTAGAAATAAAAAAAATCCCATTTTATTAGATTATACAATGTAAAATTCATCATAAATATTTCAAATGCATTAAATTGCAGATCCAATCGCAATGTCCGACAAACTAATTCCAGTCGTCAAAGCCGAGGAGGAAGCCGCAGAAGAGGAAGACCTAGTCGATCCTCAAGAAGAATTAAGGGTAAATATTGCTTATTCGTTCATATTATGTTGATATTACGTTCTTTTCAAAAATTATATAAAAATAAAAACTTGTTAGTGTACTAAAAGGATTTCCTGTAAGAGGGTATTCTGGTATACAACCTCACTCTTGGGCAACTTGGTTTTGTAATAATTTAACCAAAATTTGGACTTTATCAATGTTTTGCAATTAAACAGAAAAGTTATGTCTGACATTGGATATTTTTAATATATTTACACTTATGTATATAAGTATTACAAAGAAATATTTAATATATTTAAAAAGTAGTTTATTGAACAACAGATTTTAAATATTATTTTTATTGATATCAGACAATAAGTGTTCTTACTAAGCTGTTCACTAAGTTTGTTAAAGAGGATTTTGATGTTTTCTGTAATATGTAAACATCAATAGTGTATTTATGTATTGGTTTGAGTGCCATACATTTCTGAAACATAATTATTTTGTTTAAATATTATTGGATTTTATTTTGTTAGCTTATCCTTATTTTTCTTTTTTAGAAACCCATTCAACTTCAATTGAATTATTTGGAAATTAAAATAAAGGTTTTTTTCTTTTAAACTAAAAGTAATTTAAAATTTATATATTCATAGATATATTTTTAATTTAAATTAGCTAGTAAAATGACTAGTTGCCTATTATATTTTTACTAAAAATAGATATATTTTACTATTTGTTCTGATCATTCTAGTCAAATTTTTGTGTATGTATTTATATATACAAATATATAAAGAATAATTTAAAGAAAGTACTAGTATTATTTTAGATAAATATTATTTTCTTACCAGTGTGGTAGATACAGAAGCATGTAAATATTAATATATACAAACTCAAGATGAAATTATGCATCTATTTTATATGTACTTCATTGTTCAAAATATTGCTAGTAGACTTTCCTCAATATATTATACCTTTTCATAAAGGCCTCTTAAAGTTTTAGATGTCACTTTATTTTTTTAAATATCGTGTAAATAAAGTAAAGTAAATAAAAATACATTCTAAATGTAGTAAAAAAGTAATTTAAGATAAATAATATTAAATCTTACTTATTGTTAGTATTGCTCATTTCATCACTTCTTTTATTAGAGTTTTAATTCTGTAATTACTTAACATTGGCACACAGAACATTAGTATTAAATAAATTTGATTTTTATGGTTACATGTGGTAATAAAGCTGCAACAAACAAAATATTTATAATATTTAATTTTTATAAAATTAAGTTCATGTTGTTCTTAAGTTGGTACTTAAGAACAAGGAGTTAATTTGGTTTTTATAAATATATAGTTTATTTAAATAAGTCAAACAATTACATTCGATTCACACAAAATAATTTTGAATAAATTAATTATAAATATAATGACCATCTACTTGGTGGAAAGTGATAATCATTATTTATAATTTCCAGGAAAGTTGTGCTCAAAAATCCGATGCGCAGAACTTATGGGGAAAATACCAGGAGTGCAATGATCGCGTCAATTCTCGATCCAAAACAGCTGAAACTTGTGATGAGGAACTCATTGACTACCTACATGTCCTTGACAAATGCGTCAGCAAAGACCTATTCTCAAGGCTAAAGTAATGTAGTAGTAGTAGTTCTAAGGTTTAGTTCAGCCCTGAAATGTATAAACTCAAAGAAACAGAAGAATTTACATTCATTTTGAAAGGTAAAATTAAAGGGCTTGTTAGTAAATTATTAAACATGTATGAGAATAAAATGAATACTTGATGTTGTTGATTTGTAAATAAATAAGTTAAAAAATATGTTACTTTATTTTACTTGTAATTATAGAATAGTGTTATGGAATTAAAGGAAACAAAAACATATTTATTTCAAGTACAATTTTATTAAAGCAAATATATATTTTTTTAACATAACATGTAGCAGTGGAAAAATAATATTTCTATTTAAATTAGGAAATGGCACTATTGATTCATAAATCCTTAGTATTGCCAATTATTGCATTGCAAATAAGACTAAAGACTGCAGACGAAGAATAATACTTACTCCTAAAAATAATCTATATGAGACACAATAGCTAAATTACACTTCTATATAAATAAACAATGTAATTCGGTTGTGTACAATGTAGTCTCTGTCACTCAAAAAATAAGAATGGACTTTATAATATTAAAAAATATTTATTTCTCTTTAACTTCATTCAAATATTGTTATAAGACATACCTAAACTTTGGAATGTTTCGTTAAATCAATGATATATAAAAAACTTTTAATATATTTATAACAACCAAATAAAATGGAAAAGGAGTATACACGTAACGCCACAGATAAATGGTTGTATGGTTTTATATATTTATTTAATAAAACTATATGTTCTTGCAACTGTTTCGAAGTTAGACTTTTATGGTTTTCAGTCATCTCGATATAAGCCTACATTCATATAAGATTCCTTAAGACTATTTTTATGACTATGCAATACAATTCTGTGTCTATAAAATCTTAATCTAATATTCAAAATTGACAATATACATAAGCAATAAAATAGTAAATACATGGAGAAAATTAATAATATTGCCATTAATCAAATGGTAATTTACGCTTCAAACATACATTCATTATTTTGAAAATATATATGAAGTTACCTAACTACTCAGAATTTTGAGAACTATGCTTACTGAACAACTTTTACGCTTTAAGGCGGAGGTGGACAAAACACTCGCAACTATAGATCTAGAAAACAGTTGATAAAAGATTTCCTTTTAATATTATCTCATACTACCTCTTTCTACTTGTGTATAACTTTCCTAAGTCATAGGTCCCAAAATTTTGATGTCGCTAATTATCAATAAAAACAAAATGGCTTCCTTTTTCACACAACATTTTAAAGTAGACAGATGAGGCACTAAACTTTGTTTCCCTAATCTAACGGATGGCTTAAAGGTTTAGGCTTTATTATAAGTACAAGTTAAATTCTAAAGAAGTGGTAGCAGTCAGTCAGTAAGTATAGTGGTGTATGAAGTTCTGAAAAGCACGTTAACACGAATATTGTTAAATGTATACAGTAATTACAATTTAGTCGCTGTAAACTGATACATTTATATTTCTTGTATTTTAATAAAACACGTCACGTCACGCCAAAATCAGAATTGATTAAGATGACAGTAATAAAACAGATTACTGCAATGCGAGTATAGCCTTGCCGGCATGGATCAAGTTATAATTTTAAATTGTTAATAATAATTACCTTTGACAATTCACACAACGCCATCTAGTCCTAAGGTAAGCCAGAGTTTATGTTATGGGTACTAGAAAACTGATATAAATACTTATATATATTTTAATACTTCTGTAAATACATACTTAATATACTTACAAAATACACAGACCGATATAAACAATTATATTTATGTAGATGGTACAAATGCTTATACGACGTTTAGGGCGAGGAATCAAACCCGCGACCATCACAGTTAAGCGGCGTATTAAACCGCCATACCATCGAGGCCATTAGTACATATTGTATTATAAAATTTACCTTCAATTTATACAGCCATGCTGATAATGCCGTACAAAAACATGCATCAACTCAACAATGTCTTATTTTGGTTCAACCTTATTGCATGAACTTTACAATAAACATCCGAATTTTACAATTACATTCTAATAAAAATAAATAGGCTTTATAGATAAGATTTAGAAACAATTATAAAATACATAACATGTAAACAAATTAACCATGTATATGTAAAAAAAATAATCTTGGATTGCATAGTACATACTCCTATTAACAATTCCCGAATTTACATTATTTGAATTCAATAAAAATACAGTACTGGATCGGGCACTGACACTTCAATAATAATAATAATACATTATATTAGTGAAGATTACATAACAGTCAATCGTACATACTATATTTGATGATGATGTTCAGCGTAGAATAACAAAAACATTGGAGTGATTTCTTCCTGATGAAAATATTTATAGGATAGTAGTAGCAGTAAATACAATTTATTATTTCAATGGTTACATCACATCATGTAGAATTTGTATATATGTCATTACTGTTGCCATGGAACAGTAGATCAGTATTAAATTTAAATGTACATTAATTTTTATTATTTCAACCGATGTGGCGCTAATACGGTCGCTTAATCCATTACATTTTAATATATTTTACATTTAAACAATATATTATACTATGTATCTTGAGCAAACTATAGTAACAAAATAAAAATCAAAACTAAATACAGTTTAGAATAAAAATAATTACTAAAGTTTGGCTTTTGTTTTGTTGTTTTTAGCGAAAACGGTAAAATAAATTTAGGTTCAGCAAGTCAACATGACTAGCAACATTTGGGTGATGATGTCTGTTCTTGAAAATATTGCATCACATTATAGTAATAAAATTACTACAAATACGCAAGAAACATAACTATGTTGTGACCACGTATTTTAAATATATAATACAGTATACATTTGAGAATGTAACAAAATCCAAAAGTTATATATCATTGCTCAAATAGCAAATATAACCCACTCATAACGCATTCTAGATAACAACATAAAATCGCTGAGCCCTCATACAAAACTATTATATCACACCGTTTTGGCCAAGCGCCATCTATATGGAGATATTACTAACTAGCACCAACTTGGAGTACATTGAAGCATATCTCACAAACTCGCTGCGGTTTATTCATGCCAAATTTGAGTATTGGAACGTCCTGGCTGGAGCATTTGTTACATAACATCCTACCACAGTGACGACTGTAACAAAAATAAATTATATTTTATTCTATATAATTAAACTTCCTTTATATAGACTAGACCGCCACCAATTTCCAAGCAATCCACAAAAAATATGACTATAAATGGACAATAAGAATAGATTGTACTTATTTCAGCAATTGCGGTTTGAAGATATGGGATAAAAATTACATGGTTTGGAGGTGGACAACCTAGTTCTCAGAAATGGCAATTGTGTAGGAGGTTCTTTTTCAGGTAGGTATTAAACAAGATATGGATATAGTTACCAATGATGCTTTCGCATAGTGAGCGTGAATTTTGTACCGCATTCTTGACACAGGTCACTTTCCGCCCACGGAGCCTCAGCTGGTAGTGCATCAAGTAGTCTATGCAATAGCTGTTTTGTGGCGACCTATTAATGAGATAAACACAAATAATAAGATGACAAAATGTATACATTTAATAATGTAATCAATTAATATATGATGTACTCATTATTCAATATTGATCTAATATCCTTATTATCTGTACATATGTGAAGCAAAAGCTTTGTACCCCTTTTTACGAAAATGAGGAGGGGTATAAATTTCGCACATTCATAGTTTATTTAGAGAGAGAGAGAGAGAGAGAGAGAGAGAGAGAGAGAGAGAGAGAGAGAGAGAGAGAGAGAGAGAGAGAGAGAGAGAGAGAAATATACTATTGTTTTTTTTATTGATTACAAAACAAATCAGTACACACAGTGCCATGCATTTGACACACACACATAGAAGTATATTTATGTCTCTTTTGACTATAAAAGCTCAATAATATTCAAACTTATAATTTAAATTCATTATGGTCGAATTTCGAGCATTAGGCGTCCATTAGTTTAATTAAATTCTATTTTTATTTAAATATATATTGGTAATATTTTAACACATCAAAAATTATACATGTGTTGTCTTGTCATTCTTGGGAGACTACTTTAGTTTTATGAATATTATTGATTTTTTAAGTAATTTAGAAGTATAATAATAATAATAATATTTATTGAAACCAAATTTACAGTAATTATCATAAACTATTTGATTTTTATTAAATATACTAAACTTAGGCGAGGCTTTAGAATACATATGACTAATTTGTATAGATATATATATTATGTGTATTACCTGGTAGTTAAATATGGAGACACCCTCCTTGTTCTCCTGTGCGAGGCAGGCCCCGGCGCGAACCAGCACTCGGCACATGGCAGCCTGCCCGTTCATGTACGCAAGCAGTAGTGGTGTGTTACCCTATCAAATATACCACGCTCAGGTAAGCACTTGCGGCAAACAAGTTAAATAAAATCATAGACAATGTAGATTCACCCCAGCAGTATGCTCGGGTCCCGGCGGCCCATAACGGCCCGTGGAAGACTTCAATCAATCAGACAATGTAGCCTGTTTATTACTTTTTGTACATATCGTTGTTACTGTACAAATCACGGGTACTCAAGTTATTCATATATGTATCCCTCAATATTCTTTCAACTGGTAGCTATAAAAATGACATTAACGCTCCATCTGTGGCACAAATTACAGATGGGGGTATAGTGTCTGAGTCCAATAATTGACTCCTTCGCGGAAGAAAGGATATGCAAAAAGATAGTAACATCAATACGTGACTTGTGGTTAAAAAATATAAGCGGTTATATTCTCAATCAATCAATGAAATAAAATATTTATTTACATACAATAACCATTTTTTGCGTACAGTAAGCATAGAGGTATTAAATTTGAAATTTAAATTTCATTCAAACTATGACAGGTTTTTTATATCTATCACTTAATAATCTGTATACTTATAAAGATGTACAATTTCATATGAAATGTTCAAAGATTTGACAAGAAGCCAATTATTATGGCGTTCGGTAGTATTATTAGTTATTGATTTAATTTCATTGCAAATTCTCTAATGTTATAAGATATTGCGTAAGTTTAGAATAATAAAAGTTTTAATGTCGCGATTTGGTCGCCGAACAGTCAACACTAGGCTTCAAAGTCCAGTGAATTCAATCTGTCCAGAGGTGAAACACGTATCGCAATATGGGCTTGAGTTTGAGTCTACACTCTAGACTCAATATCGGTCGGAATTTCATGACCATTCAAAGTAATAACGGTAGTCAAGTTTCCGAATAACTGAATATTTGTGATCTCAGACATCCTAATTATAGCGGAATTAACAAAATAATATAAATCCATTAAGCAGTGAAACGAACTTCTGCAAAATAACATCTAATGCGATAAAAATAAACTTTTAATAATTCAACCACACTAAAAACAATTACTATACCTGTAAGTCTGTTTTATTGATGGGATAATCCGGCATGAATTCTAAAAATATTTCACAGATTGTCGCTGCATTATCTTTTTTACACCAACATAATTCATGCAATGGATTTCGACCTGTCAGAAAAACAAAAATTAACAGTTTAGTATAAAGTTATTAACTACACTATAAAGTTACTAACAACTAAACTAAACTAACTAAAAGATATATTAGATAATAGTAAAAGATAACGTAGATAAAGAATAAAGAAGTTAAAAATATTTTCCCAGTTTAACTGGGATATATACCGGGACTACCTTCCAAGGCGAAGTATGTTGTCGGTAAACGTTACTACAAATATAAGGGGGGTACGGACCCTTGAGGTTGGGTGCGGCGGCGTCTATGTCTGTGTCAGCGAGCAGCGCGCGTGCGGCGGCGGCGTGGCCGTCGCGCGCGGCCACGTGCAGCGCGTTGTCGCCGGCCGCGTCCACCGCGCCGCACTCCGCGCCGCCGCCCGTCAGCGCCGACACGATGGCCGCCTGCCCGCCCGCCGCCGCCACGTGCAGCGCCGTCCGCCTGCGCACGTGGACGTGCACGCTTTATGTTTGTTTGACGACCTCCGTGGTAGCGGAAGTACGAACGTTCGTATTCATGAATATGATTGTTTGTATCGGTCTGGGTGATTTCATCATTTATTTATTCATGCATTAAAAATATGAAGGTATATATTTTTAATGGATGACATAGATACTTAAATACAAAACACATAGATATTGGAACAAGGGTCACAGGATTGTTTGTAATTTATCACGATGACTTCATGTTCATCTTATCATCCTCCACTGGTGTTACGTCAGCATAAACCGTTAGCGCAGGCGGGTGCACCATTTCATTATCAATCATTAAAATCTCTCCCGTAGGATGCTGTCAGCACTCCAGAGAACTTGGAATATAAGAATGTATGACAATTCCTTTTACTTTTCATGTTTGATTAACATAACATGACGCCAAATGAATGGGATAAGGAAGAGGTAGATTGATAGTAACGAATGTTTTATTAACATTCGTTACATAAGACAAATTAAGAATATACATGTATTAAATATTATATACATTCATATCGATGTCTATATTTTAAATATTATATTTTCAGATATGTGTGGAAATGGTAGTCACTCGTCTCTCCTTTCATATTACCAATAGTCAGATCATAATTATCATCTTTGTCACAGTCAGTGTGTTAATGACAGATTATAAAATAATCTTTCTTTAAAACTCATAATCAAACTCGAACTTTATAACTCACTTGTGTGCATCCCTATCGTTGGGCCTAGCGCCAGCAAGAAGCAAACTCCGCAGAAGCACCTCGTTGCCGGCAGCGGCCGCTAAATGCAGCGGTGGCGCTAGTGTCGCGTCTTGTACTCGTGAATTCACATCTACCTCCACCGATAAAAGGAACATCACGCTTTCCATATCACATTTTTGAATGGCAACGTGTAGGAAGTTGCGGCCCTTTTTATCGACCTATATAACAAAGATAGAAATCAGTAAGTACTAGCTATGCCACGCTGTAATGAGTTGACTGAAATAGTTTTTTTTTTTTTCGATATAAATCCGTTTTTCCTAATATTCTCTTCAGTATTTCTCTCATTCCTATTATTATTGTATCTAAAGGCACCACAGAGAATATAAAAATACTAATAACCTGTTCAGCGGCTGATGGATTCTTCTCAAGTATAGACTGAGCAGCTTTGTTGTTCTTGGCGGTGAGGGCTGCCGCAAATGGCGACACGCCCTTGTTGTCCCGCGCCGAGAGGTCGATGCCCGGGTGAGACAACAGCAGAGAAATAATACCCGCGTGCTGATTTTCTATCGCTATATGTAGTGGCGTTTTGCCTTCTGAATCTTTTGAATTTATGTTGGCACCGTGCTCTAGAAGAGTCTACAATAAAAATACGTAAACATTAATTCACACCCCTCCGATCAATCCCCCGTCCAATTCAAACGGGGATCCAAGTTACGACGGCCTGAGCCCAGGTTTGAACCCCTAGCGGTGTCCTCATGCTTAAGTCGTATCTGTTAAACGGGAATTGGCCTTCAGCCGCTCCATAAGTCTTCCACTTAGTCACGACTTTTGCTTTGTATTATTTTTAATTAAAAGTATTTGGGAACTTTTATTATCTCTGACTTATCATGATTACGTTTTCTTACTTATCTATTATATATTTCCATTATCATTTAATAAATATATATATATAATATGATAATAAAAGTAATAATCTCAGTACAATTAATACCATCTAGTGCGCCATCTAGTGCTAAGCTAATTAGAACTAAATACAAAATTTTTATTTTTTTGTAAATACATACAGAATATACATAGGCAATACCCAGCCTAATACAAACATAAGAAACTTGTAAAACACCCAAATGGCAACTCTAACTGTAGACCATGAGTCAACAATACATGTGTATTGCAAGTAGCAGTCTCGCACCTGTATGACATCGATAAGTCCCCAGGTGCAGCAGAGGTGTAGCGGCGTTTGCTTCTCTGCGGCGACATCCGCGCCCGCGCCGCCATTACCAGCACGTCGTGCTGATTCCACATCGCATCCTGATCGGATGAGGAACATCGCCAGCGACTCCTTATTTTCGTCTATAGCCCTATAGCACGCAACTCACTTTAGAACAAAAATTTTGAAAATGTCTAATCAGGTGCTAGGCATTGCTTTAACTATATGATGATATGTATGAAAATGCTGACAAAATCTCGATTTATAGCATAGTTATTTGAAATTAGAATATGTTTTCAAAGTTCGCACATAAATTCAAATATGATATGTTCATATTTGAATTTTATACGTACGGGGTACACACATGAGGTATCTTGAATGACCATTAAATATATACTCAAACCCTTGAAATTATCTTGGAAGTAATAGTTATCATTCGTTAGATTGAGTTACAATTCGCGGCAAACTACTATATACAAGCTTGCACATTTCACGCAAAGGCACAACGCAGTTACAGCGCCATGTTATATGGTACAGAAATAGTTTACGACTTGTATGCTGGTATCGATGCTATATTGCTGTACAAGATTAAAAAACGGCAAAAACTCACTTGTGTAACAGTGTCTGCAAACAGCCGTCCGGCCCGGCGCCCCAACAATCGGCGTCTGCTCCATTCCTCACTAAAATCTGCACCGAAAATTAATTAATTAATATATTGAAGAAACATCGCAAATATAAAATGAATTGGTTATAATAATTAAATTCCAACTTACACTAGCCACTTCTTCTTGACCGGAGTCGAGGGCCGCCCATAGAGGTGGCACCCCGTTGGCGTCAAGGCGACTCATGTCCACCCCTCGTACACACAGAGCCTCGACGACCAAACCCAAGCGGCAATGTATTGCGAGCTGTAGTGGAGTTTCACCGGCTTCCGTTCTGCAAAATTTCGTATATTATTCGTTAGTTACTTTTGTATACTACAATGGTCAAAAGATTACGTCATGGAATCATGTCGTATTAACATTTAATAGTGAATAAGGAAAGATGGAAGATCGTAGAAACTAGCAAGAGCTCTACCGACAAGAGCGTGGCTCTTAAATTATGAAATTAACTACAATGGTGGTAAACTAGCATACGGTCCGTCTATATAAAAACTTATTGTTGCCTATGGATGCCTGATAAATCTATATTATAGTGGGACTTTTGAGTCTACTAAAAATATTACGGTGCGAGAATCGGGATATTGAGGAGCAGTTAAGTTGTGGTAAAAAATAACAAAGGGGCCGAGTGGATAGAAAGTTGAATTTTTATTTCTACTACAGTTACTGTGCCTCGTAGTCGAAACCTTCTATACTTACTACTAATTTTTATATAATACTTCTATATGTAAATGCTGTGTCCACTACTCACAATGCGTTCATATCAGATCCGTGGTCCAGTAAATAGATAGCAGTCTTAGAATCCTCCTCCACAATGGCCTGGTGCAGTAACGTGAAGCCTTTACCGTTACGAATGTTTGGATCCGCGCCCCCCTCAATCAATGGCGTGATTAAGTGCTTGTGACCTGGATTATTGAAAAATATCTTCACTTCAGATTCTTACTATATTAAACAATAACAGGAACGGGATAACTTTAAGTATCAGGGACACTTTTATTAATGTAATAAGGAGAATATTTGTTGATTTAGTCGATAATTATTATAATTCGTTAAAAGGTTTATATTAATTATATCAAGTGACTGTACACTTTTTATTACTATACGTTTTTTTTAATACATACGTATTTTATATAGCAAACATCCAGGAACCGAACCGAACCCGCAAGTAACTGAAATAGGTCGACGTTCTAAATTGCTACGCCACCGAGGCCGACAGCGTTAAAGTTAATATATCCATTAAGAAAAAGTAAATCAAAACACTCACATTCGCTAAGCGCAAGGCTGACAGGCGTATCCCCGTCTGAGTTTTTCAAGTTCAAATCAGGCAGAAGACTAACATTGCTGCGGTCTGTTGCTGGGTAATCACCCTTCTCGATCAATTTCTTATGTTCTATTATAGCCATTACTGAACCTTCATGATTATTGTATATAGCTAAGTGAAGTGGTGTTTGTCTGAAATCAAATAATCCTTTATAGCTTTATGGTGACAATTAAAGAAACTAAGGGTAGATACTGAGACATTTCAATAAGTTTTTGGAAGTAGGAAGTTCAGTCCATAATACGAGGAGGAAATTCGTCTGGCCGTCTCACTAGACATCGCCAATCAAATTTGCAGACGTTGGAATTAATTCCTTGTCGTTAACGAGAAGTGTAATAGTAGATTATTATATACGCACTATGTATCATATCATATAATTTTTCCAAACAATGTCCATACTAAGCGTAGAATATTTAAAGGTAAACATATTCATTCGGCAACCATAAAAGGCTATCATCATTACAATGATGAAATACAAGTATTAACTGATACTATGTCAATTTGACATGACCGATAAATAACAAATTACAACAACAAGGGATGAAACTCTAATTTATGTGTCATAATTAAAAAAACAAAGGATATATGGCATGATTAATACATTTATATACCTAATTTATATTTATTTGTTGTGGTATATTAGCTGTACCTACAACAAAAAAAAGTACCCATCTGTTTCCTTTACATGTTGCGTAAACTCTACGCGTAGAAAGCGTATGAATTAACATTTCCGTTACAATCTGAGTTGGAGTAACAGTGGTAATAGTTGTATTTGTTATACGTAATGCCTAAAATATTTTCATTAAAATTTATTACTACTTTATAATCACTAAGAGTATGCCCAGTATTATAACGTATCATTATCAGGAAAAAAAAATCACTAAGAAAACAGTAGGTTTTAATTGGAATGCTATATGCATTCGAATTTGATTCTTAATTATAAAACAAATAAAAGACATTCACGACTTTAATCTCAATTTTGGTAACCAACTTCAAGTTCATTAAATAACATTAGGACAACTACTGCCCTTATAGATTGGTTCTGACAATGAAGCAAACATGCGAATCCACAGCATACTAGAGTTTGACCTCGTTTTTTTCCGTATAAACAGCGGGAGCTTATTTATATATAAATAATATTATCATGGTATATCCCGTCTACATAAGGTGTAAACGGGACATACCACGTAATACTGTAAATACTTAAAAAAAATTAAAACATTGTTTAACTATTTCATGCGAATAACATTAATATTTCAATCTCAGAAGACCCACCACCATTTATGCGTACATGATACCTCCTGCCATGTTACTAGATATGTATAACGAATTTTCAACTAAAGTGGTAGAAGGCGAGTCGAACCTGCCATTCAAGTTAATTTGTAATCCGAGGCGCGTTTAAATGAATTCTTACGTAACTTTTGCCCTTTGCTTGGATAGTTCGAAAAAAAAAACACATGAATAACAATTAATAGAAAAAACTTATAAACAAAAACGCCATAGGTTTAAAATAGAAAAATATTTCCAATATAATTATCCTAATATTATATTACGAGTACAGGCGTAGATATAAAATCCCATTTATTATGTTTATCGGTTATATATATATATATATACTTATAAAACTTATAAAATAATTTGTTTAAACTGCTTATTAACGCATAACAAAAGGCAAGCTTCCAAAAATAAAAATGCTAGAAATTTGTAACAAATTTAAAATTAACCATATTTAATAAACATGTTTTATAATAAATAAAACATGTTTATTAAATATGGTTAATTTTAGAAAAACGTATGTCGTAATGACACTTGTAAAGCCTTGGGTAACAGCTAATTAAGTTATATAAAATAGAAATACCTATATACGGTGTCCTCTTGTTCGCCATAAGCTGTTTGCAAATTGGGCCTCGCGCCTTGCTCTAGCAGAGCTGTGGTGAGTCGGGCCAAACCATTGGCACAGGCTGCATGTAAAGCCGTCAGACCTGCTTCGTTAGCATGATTTACTTCCCCGTTCAAATGTGTCGTTAGGAAAACAGCTGAGTCCTACGAAAAGTATCTTTTTAATTAACTGATATAAGTACACTGACCATGTTTATGACATATTTAACAAGTATGTGATTATAAAGTACTATTTGTAGTGAGATTTGCAAAAATGTATACATGACAGTACATACACAAATACACTAAGCATAATGATGCCTAACAAATACGATAAGTCTGACTAAGATTACGTAACAAAAGTAGGTAATGCGAGAATGACACAAAGGAGGTCTAAATATTGCAAAAATCTGTTTAAGCATCACGTGGCTTATAAGTTTGTTTGCACATTTGTTGCATAAAAACGACATCTGTATTTTGTCACCAGCACTTCGCTCTAACTGCACTGGGGCATAGTGTGTAAATTTTATTAAATAAAATTGTATAGTTTTATTATTTTTTATTAATGCCTATAGCCATAACAGACATAAAAAAGTGGGCAACTGACTACTTTGAAGTTAATGTAGTCTATAATTAGATAATCGTACAATGATATTTTAGTATTGTTTATATCTATTTTACATATCGAATGCTGAATGTTTCAAATGGTTAAACATCCAGGTTATACATGATAACAGTAGTTAATGCGAAGCGAATAAAGACCTGAATACATTTATTACCTAAACCAATCTTTAATATTCTTGAGCACAAGGTTTGCAATTGACCTCGGAGTTGGGATTTAGGTGTTATTTATTTTACTAAATACAAGTGTTATATTAAAGTTTAGTCACTCTATTATTACCTCAAACCATCCAAGAGCCAATATATGAAGCAGGCTGTCACCAGATCCAGAATATTGCGGATTTGGTTGGCACCCTTTAGCCAATAATTTAGCAGCGAACCCTCTTTCGACAACACTTTCAGTTTTTTCTTCCGCCGTGTCTTCAGTGAATGCATTTTTGTTAGTAACCGGAGTATCAAATGGGTTAGATCCATTCATGACCAATGTTTCGCTTGACGAAATCGATGCCCGTCTATCGTCAACTAGCGCATAGTACAAGGGTGGATTTTCATCTGTCGCAGTCCGCAAATTCGTGTCTAAATTTGATTGTTTAAGTAGTAAGTCAAATATTCTTTGGTTTCTTGCTATCACAGCTTGATGTAGTGGTGTGCTAATTTTAATAATTAAATAAATTAATGACAAATTTAAAATATTTATTTAACTTCTTGAGTCATTAAAAATAAGTAGCTACTCACAATCCTTTTCTGTTCTGTCGGTTTATGTCAGCATTTTTCTGAATCATGGTATCTGCAATTTCCGCCATCTGTTCCATTGTATCTTCATCACATGAACTGGATGTCAATGCAGCTATTAAGTGAAGGGCTGTCTCGCCTTCCTCTCTGTGGAATAGGCACATTTTTTTAGACAATGTCTTCGGTCTTATAAATCCAAAGATCAAATACGAGTATAGAAATATTAAATTAAGAGAGATGTAGTAAATTTGAAATTACTAAATTCGACCGTGACTAAAAATATAAATGGTCTAAATATTGAATACAATCAGAGCATCGTATTTGGCAATGTATTTGGTATAAACATACATTTCTTTGATCATAAGACCTTGATGTGACCTTTCAATTTATTTAATCAGACCGTTAATGAGCTCAATACCAGATTTTTCATTTTCCAGATATAGCATAGTTTAAAAGTCAGATAGTCTTGTTAGTCAAAAATAAAGTACTACTTACTTTGTTGTTAGGTTCGGATCGGCCCCATTTTCTACTAAAAATTTGGCCGAGAAAGGATCTCTAGCGTCGATTGCCCTGTGCAACAAGGTTCTGCCACGGGGCCCTCGAGCGTCCGCGTCGGCGCAATGTTGCAACAGTGTTGTTGCAATAGAGGAACTGCGTCCACGAAGTGCTAATTCTAGAGGCAACTCTCCTCTCGTTGACATAGCATTTACTATGTCCGTTAACTGTAACAATGCAAAAGATACTAATTGAAAAATGATTGAGCTGATATGTCTATAAGTTTTGTAATGTAATTGAAAACAATTGAAGGTATATTAAAAGCTTTTATTTAACTTGCAATGTGAGTACGTAACTATGTTCGGGTGGAATCTTGCAAGTTCATTTTGAGGCAGATATCTTCAACTGTTTAAACTGAAATTTTGTATACACTTTGTATACGTTTAGTTTCAATGCCAATACTCAGTAAGATGTATGACATCAAGCTAAATCCAACATGTAACGTAGCTAAAATTACATTTGAAGCTCATTTCAGCATTACTTATGTAAATTGCTGGTGTCATCGCAGGCTTCTCGGCGAGACATTAGCTTTCTCAGGATTTATAACATTGAAGTGCACTTTAGAATCTCAAGTAGTGCGTTCTTTTAACTTCGACAAATAGGCCGGTCCATTATTATTTTGTATAAGACTGTTATTTAGGGTGACCAATTATCGGTTCTATCATTATTTTAAGTTTCTTCCTAATTAGATTTCACTACTGTAAAGTGTTATAATCAAACTGTTTATACCTTAATTATGTTAATTCGAAGTTTTCGTCCATACATACATCTGTCAATAAATGAACTTGTAAGTGAATTTAAAATTTAAGCTTTTATTTTAAATTATTTCGGGTCAAGGGTAAAGACTATACTTGTGGTCATAGCATTTCGAATAATTATGCTCTGCTCTCGTAAATATACAAATAGGTATAATAAATTACATTTGAGATAGATACTTAATTGATGTATGGCTAATAGTGTGTGATGGCGTCACATTATTTAATCATTGAGAAAATAGTATTTGTATACATAGCTTTACAATTCATAAGTTTAAAATATTGAACTGGGCTAACGCTAAATGTTTTTATGCATTCAATCATTCTGTTGGTTAATAGCTAACGTTGAAGCGTGTAAATAAGTCTAAATTGAACACGCAACTATAATCACGGAACAAAAGTGATTTTCCTACTCTATCATTGCGTTTAGTCACAAAAACTGAATAACATGTCAAAATTTGTAGCGTAGTATGCATAACATTCCTATACCCAAAATGTGTCTATTTTTCTTTGTTTGATTTTGTTGAAGATCTACATTGTGAAAATAACATGAAGTTGTTTTTAATTCCAAATGAAGTTGTTTCAATATTAAATTTATTCTCATTTTCGTTGTTATGTATGTATGTCAACGTATGCATGATCTACGTAATAATAATTAGTACAGAAGTCAGCTATCTACACCGTTCACCTGACCGAAATAAAATACAATGAGCGATAAACATTTGTGTTAAGAATGCGCGTCACACAGGACAAGTCAATGTAACTTGATGAATTACAATTGATTATAGTTGTTCGCTTTCACGATTATATAATATATTGTCAAATGATTTATAATCGATTTTGATCTGAATTCGAACTTAAGTTGTTAATGCATAGATTAACCTGCAGTAATCACATCCGTCCTTCATACAAACTGATCCCCGGAAATCTTTATTATGATCACTGGAAATTAAGTGCATCTTGAGCGATAATGCTCTCTCCAATAGAGAAAATAGAATACCGCAGATATTAAGAAAGGCGATGGATATAATCCAGGAATATATTATTATCGAATATCTGCGACATACGTTTTCAATTTGTATTGTATTTTATATAATTAGGTACTTGGGAAATATACAACTGAAGTAATTGAAATGTGTAGTTTACGGCGCGCAAAACATTTTACGTATAGTTAGATATATTTCGCCGTTCAACAAAATGTTACAATTAAATTTTGTGTGTAGTGTTTCCATAAATACGTGTATGTGTTTAAATTCCGTTATGCACAGTTGCATACTTTCAATAAATGATATAACTAAATTTTCCTGCTTTGTTTATTTTCTGGAATGGGATATTATTCTCGGTCTGATCAGACCGACCTTTACATGATCCTCATTGGAAACTTTGGAATTCCTAATGTATTCTTCTAATAGCACAGTTCAATCATTACCTTCCAAAAATATTGAATTGGTTGAGTATAGTCATCACAACCGTTGTTCTAGTGTTCTAGTTTAGCAAATTTTCAGGCATGCATTCACATACATGCAAGAATATTAAATATTTACACTATCTAGTAAATTCAATATTATGTACACTATTAGAATATGTTAATTATACTATTGTTATCACTCGAAGTTGATTGCAACAAAATAAATTGAAAAACATTCTAATTAAAAGTGCACTAGAACGAATACATTTCTAATGTAATTTAATTAGCTACTTTCCAGTAATAGAAGTTACACTTATACACTTGATATTTTGTTGCTAATATTTTCTATGTTATTACTTAACGGCTTCGGTAGTCTAGGGGTCTAACTACTTCCGATGATCGCGTGTTCGATTCCTTGCACGGTGCAAACATTGTATTGTGGGTTCTTGGTGTTTTCTATGTATATTATGTAATATTTAAAAAAAAATTCTAAGTAGTTATATTATTTGTCTATTACCCATAACACAAGCTCTGCTGCTTCTGCTTATCGTGGGACTAGATGGTGCTGTGTTAATTATTCAGAGTTATTTATATATATTTAATATTTAATAAAGTCGACTGTACCGGACTATAACGATTAATTCAATTCTTAGTTCTAACCTGCACGTATCAACAGCACTAACGAGATTTAATAGTAATCATTGCAGTTGTATTATACAACTCTATTTAGCTTAATAATAGTTAATAATATGGCCACTTCGATTTTAATAAGTAATGGTTTTAAAAATTTGTGGTTAATACAAGGTCCCTCAATAAATATTCATTATAACAACTTCCATCAAAGTTATATTGTAGTTTAAAAACAATTGAAAATTATGTAACAGACAACAAATTATAAGATCCTCCTATAAGTAATACGCAAAAAAAACCGGTAAAGTGAAAAACACACAATGAATAGTACAACCCAACAAATTATATGAATAGATATTTTATCAACTTTATAATCTAACTAAGTATGCGGTAATCCATTTCAATACAAATAGAACAAGAACTATTGAGTAAGTAGGTATAGTTATTGAGAAATCCCCAAAAATATATACGACTATAAAATTAGATTGCTTGTAGATAAATCTGATTTTATAGTGATATTTGTTGCTAATTTATTATAGTATATTTATTTACTTGTATTTTGTACATATTCTTGTCAAGATTTATACCTTTTGCATTTGCTTAACTCATATCAAAGCCCATTATAATACAAATGGAGTTATGTTATCAAGTTATGAGAATTACGTATATTACAAGTATACATAAGACAAATCTACGCTTTGGTCAGTAAAGCCTTCACTAGGCAAATTCCATAATATATTATATATACGAATACTGCAGTGCTTGTATATTATTTTGAAATAAGTTTAAACTACTGTACAAATGGAACAAATTACTGAAGCAATGTGGTAATCCTATGTAAAGAACATCACCATTTTTTGTGAGTTATAAACACAATAAGGCCACAAACAAGTTCAGTGTTAATATCAATTTCTTAACTTACACAATTACTGCATGCTCAGTTACATTCTATGACTCAGGTCCTTGTGGCCAGCATTTGGCATTGGTAGTACAGCGTTTAGTGTTCACGAACGCGATGTCAGTAATCATTGCAACTTGTGACGAGACGCACGTTCGTATTATCGTGTTCATAATACGCGACATGTGAGCTTGAACGCTGTGAGAACCAATTAATCAAGGTGCTATATTCTGTGATGTAGATATTGGGAGAACTATATTTGTATTGCAATTTTCAGTCATAATAAGCACTGAATATAGATTCTGGTGTGGTAAGTATTGGATTTAAACCTTCAAATTAAATAAAGATATAATTTTGATTGATTATTATAATAATAACATTCTGAAAAATGCTCGACAATAATTTAATCGTTAGAATAAGTTAATACAATATTATTAAGTACGTTATCTGTTACAATAATACGGTTGATCTGCTTGTGTACATCAACGATGAACGAAACGACTGTTCTCACAGGTGTGATGTCATTGGAAGATAAATACTCACAACTGTATTGCACGTTGATAGTTCATAATATAATAATTTTAGGTTCACATCTAGATTCTAGGTTTGGAATTACTGTCAAGTCATACAAAATGATTTAGTGTTCCGCATAATTAGGGCACATGTTTATTATTTATATATGTATATTATTATACTTATATATACATGTGTATGTATTATATTAGAGTAAGCGAACAGTTAAAAAATATTCCCATGAGTAACCCCACGAATCAATGTAAATAAATTGTTTCCTATATTTGCCTGGCTACTAACGGAAATCAGGACCCCTGTCCGTGTCTATTCTCAGAAATACACTATAATATTTAAAAACAGTGGTTTAAACAAATAGGAAGAAACTCCAAAATTATGAAGAACTGTATGTCTATTGACATCTCACTTTTGCCCATTTAAGGATCAGATTACAATATTCAGGATAGGACGTCTTAGAAATTAAATTAATATTGATTGACTTTTATATGTTATAATATTCATATTATTTAAATATTGATGTTCCACAAATTTTGATTTGTATGTATTACTTGATACATAATATTGACAACATTTAGGTAGATACTAAATTAGCGAAACTACTGTAAAATTTGGATAACAGATGTAGAATAAAATACTAACTAATTTTATCATAAATATGTAAACATTCAATAAACAGTCTGGTTTCTGCCGTAGTTACTATCGTTCCTATATAGTGATATAAAAGTATAATTAGAATAATCTACAACATGATATTTATCGCAAGTTACTTAGCAAAAACAGGTCAGCCAAGTGTACACATAATAACTAGTATTTATTGAGCTTTGCAGTTTCCAATATGATAGCTGATTTGTATTTGACATTCGAGACACCAAACCACAGACACGATTTATTATTAACTATTGTTATAGGTGTACCACAGCATATACTGTGTATGAGTCATTCGTCTTTCACAATCTTATTATTATTAATCACTACTTTAATCATGAGTTTAAACTTGCATTACAATTCAAATAAAATATATTTATATTTTTCAGTTTAAAATATTGCTAAGTATTTGGCTTATATCAACAAACTCGAATTATTTTTCTCAAACATTTGAATAATTTCATTGAGTTTTCATCTGTAAATCACATGATAATGTACTAAGTAATGAAATACAGAATTTCCTAATCAAATCGAAAGTATCCACCGACGTTATGTATTAATTATCTGTCGTGAATTAGTCATGTTTTGCAAGTAAAGTACAAAGAATTTTGAGTTTAGGTTTCGCCTTTGACTTTAGTTACTCTACCTAATATTTAAGTCTACATTAGATTACTTTGAGACTCGTAAATAATTAGGAATAGGTAAATTGGCATCTTAGTATCGAAATGTCTATAAGTTAAATATCCATATTGATACAAACCTTGAGGTCGAAACTTGTTTACAAATTATTATTCCAAAACAGACTTTATGTACTCATATGCTACATTACATAACTTTATCTTGTATCAAACTAGTTTTGTATTTAGGTTATGGTTGTTATAATTTAGCATTCATCAATTCAATTAAAGAATTATGACACCATTTGAAATCACGAACTTTATGAGAACAAACAGTATATATAAATATTCCAGAACACCTAAGTCCGATCTAAATCAGTTTACGAATTGAAAACTGCATTTAAACAGTTTTCAATCGTCCCATTTTATGAAAAGTAGTAATGGTTTCAGATATGATCAACGCTAAGTTAAATACTATAAAAAAATAATAATAATAATATACTATAAAAAAAACAACTACAGTGTTAGTACTCAAGTCTAATTCCTGAGGACAACTACTAATTCAATGCAAAAGAATAAATTAGTGCAGGTTAGTGCCATCATAATTTTTTTTTTATTATTAAAAGCAACAAAGTCATGCAATTAAAATTAAAATACTGTGTGCTCAAAAGCAGGTTAGCTTTATGCGCACCTCGGACCGTAAATTATATTATAGACTTATAACTAAATTTATAACTGGTATACAAATATAACATTTTTGTTTTGAAGTACTATTTGCATTTTAAATTTGATAAATTTATATAAATTTCACATCACCGAGACTTATTATTACGAAATGTTGAAATTGGCCCTTCAGATCGATATTAATAGCTTGTTGATTGACAAAATTTAAATTATGAATATAAAGTAAAATAATATTCAATAATAAAAGAAAAACCATACATTTTTTATTGCTCAGTAAAATAAAGTAGGATTCGTCGTTATATAAAACTCTAGATATCCACTCATCGCAAATTCATGATGTATACAAATTAATGCATACATTACAGTCTGATTCATCTTTAGTATTTGCAATATGTACTTAAGGGATGTGTGGTTTTTATTTGCTAGAATATTATATTATTTATTTATAAATAAAATAATTGTAAAATAAAATATACGTTCGTCGGGATTATTCGTGACTTTCAGAGTTTAAATTAACACATAATATAAGATATGCCATTTACGAGTAATGTACCTTTCAAATAGTACTTATTTGAGAGATTCGGAGCTTCTCATTATATTCCTTAAAACAAAATCAGCTCTTTCTATATAATCTAGACACGCGGCAGCGTGTCAAGCCGAGTTTCAAGTAAGAGAATTGGCGAGCAGCACCGTGTGTATATTTACACGAACCATTTGGAGTAACTTTTGACCCCCTTATAACTCAAAAACTCTTTCACATAAACCTGTCAAATTTGGTTCATATATTGAAACTTGCGAGATAAATATGTGTTCCAAATTTCATAAACATATCTCAAACGGCTATTTAGATATTAACGTCCAAATATCGTCATTTTTATCACTGATCAACTATAGATCAAAATTATAACCCACTTCCAGATGACCTAGGAAGTTCAAATTTGGCATGCAGATAGGTAATTAGGTGAATATAAAGGAAAAAATCTGAAACTGGTAAATTGTTATCATTTTATTATAATTTTTCACTTTAATTGATTCTATTTCAACTTATATTAGACGAATACTAAAATTCTATGAAAACGTCGATAGCCACCAATGAACATTGATCCCTGGCAAAAATAGCTCATCTTGTACTGGACTGAATGTAATATTGTATGAAAACGTCGATAGCTACCAATTAACTTTGATCCATCACTGGCTACCAGAGATCATCTTGTACTGGACGGAAAGTAATATTGTATGAAAACGTCGATCTTTACCAATTTACGTTAACCCCTTCACATCAGTGTGGATAATTAGCAAACTTCAAATATTGCATTGAGCGGTAAACACAAGTTGCTATAATTTAGATTCTGTCTAAAATATACTCGTACTTATAACTAAGAGTATAGTCGAAATATCATATACCCCGAAAACATACGAAAATACAGTAGTTTATCAAAAATAATTTGGTATTAATTTAGTTATAAATAAGTACCTCGTATAATTTGTGTACAAAAAGTAATGATATCCCATCAAAAACATAAATGTGAAATGATAGCCGAGTTTAATATTATGATATATGCCTTGATTGTTGACTTCTACGACAAAAGAGGTGAGATCTAAATGGGTGCCAAGTTCAATGGTCTGTTCTGAAATGTATTTATAACAATATAAAATATCATTTCTTCTTATAACTTAGGATAATATACTGTAGCCTAAGGTCTAACTTGGCCAGTTTTCATATACGAAATATACTGTAGCCTTCGCAAGTTCTAAACATGTTACTTGTCGGTTCCTATTTTATTATTAGTAGTAACTAGCAATCGAAAGTAATAATTGGTATATAAGAACTGGCCAAGTCAGACCTTAGGCTACAGTATATTATCCTAAGTTATAAGAAGAAATGATATTTTATATTGTTATAAATACATTTCAGGACAGACCATTGAACTTGGCACCTATTTAGATCTCACCTCTTTTGTCGTAGAAGTCAACAATCAAGGCATATATCATAATATTAAACTCGGCTATCATTTCACATTTATGTTTTTGATGGGATATTAATATACTAATATTACTACGAGTTATTATTATTTACTTTGCAAATTATAGCCTATATAATATACCCTATATTTGAAGATATCGAATATTAATAAAAGTCATACTTTCACATCTAAGGCGGTTGAACGTATTTAATGAAATTTAATATGAAGATAGAGTGTTTCATGAGGACGAACATAGATTATCATTTATAAAAAAAGCCTACGAAGTCTATATATAAATATTAATGTTTATCTTTATCTGTCATCACTAGACAGAAGTTAGTGTGTGTAATAGACATTGACCTATCACCCACAAGAGTCGATAATAGCGCATCAAGGTGAATAAAATAAGCTGTTAGCGAGCCGTAAAAAATATTATTTACTAACTAAAACAAATAAATCGTACTTTGTCACTACATATTCACATTAATACGTACGGCAACACAATAAAGTAACGAGTCTGATGTTGTTTTCAGTGAGGTAGGTAGTGATCGTGTTTGTAATTGACGATGCTTAACGAAATTTATTATATGCAGTCTTATTTGTTCATTTACAAAGAAATAGAAATAGTTCTTGCTCAGAGCGAGATCTGTTAACTGTTTTAGCGGTAGACAAGTCACCCGCTTCAAAAGGTAATTTCTGAGGAGCCCAAAGTTAAAGGAAGCCTAGCTAAAACCGAATCTACAGTTATAGACGGCTAACTAAAGCCGTTTAGCACACTGCTTTACTGCCGATGGTCGTGGGTACGATTCCTTACACGCTGCAAACATTTGTATTTGTGAGTATGATTGGTTATATCGGACTGGGTGTTT